AGGTGAGGCACCTGAGGCTTGGAGATGTAATTCGCCCGAGATAGCATAGGCAGTAAGGGATGCTGCTGGGGTTGGAGTCCAGCTCTGCCTGATTCCACAGCCCATAGCTTAATCCCTGCCCTGTGCTGCACCCCCATCTGATGTCCACCATCCCCAGGTAGGTCTGTCTCTCTCGTGCTTATCCCTGTCCTCTTCACACACGTCCTGACACTTTCTGTGCCATCTGCAAGCCTAAGGCTCTCCCTGCCTCCTCTTCTTGGGTCCTGAGGAGCCATTTCTGGGGCAAGGGGTGACCTCTAGTAAAGGGAGGCGACAGTCTCCCCCGTGGAACTTGAAAGAAGTTGGCTACACGGTACTATCTAGCCCCCAGTGACTCCTTTACAGAGAGATTTCTTACCATTTGCATCTATTATAGATTTACCAGTGGTTCCCAACCTGTGGGCCTGAAAGACCAGGGGGAAGGTGCTCAGAATCGTTTCAAAGGATGGATAAATCTATAAACACCCTCAATGTTGTCGATTGATTTTATGGAGCATAGTTGGGAGTATTTTAATATTTTGACATTCCTAATAAGTGACTTTATATAAATGCTGATTTTCATATGTGTATATTTAAAATATTTCATAATAAAAATCTTAATTGGAAAAAATGGGGTGAGTCACACTGGAAAATGTTGAAGGCTGCTAAATTAGACAAAAAGCAAGCATGGTGAGGTTGGGCTTCTGAAAGTGATTGTTAAAATGCATAAAACGCATGCATTTATCTGGAAGACCTTAAATTCCTTATTAAAAGCTTATTACGTAAAATTTCAGATTAGCTAATTAAGACTGTGGGATCTTAACCTTAAGAAAGTTTCAAGTTGGCAAAATTCAAATGAATTCTGTACTTATTATTGTACCAACATTAATTCTCTGGTTCTGATAACTGTACCATAGGTATGTCGTTATCACTGGTGGGGGCTGAGTATCCTCTGTACTATTTTTGCAACTTTTCTATAAATTTAAAAGTAGTTCAGAATTAAAAGTCAAAAAAAGTCTTCAGACAATTTAGTTCTGAGTGGATGTCAAAGTTGTGCTGCAAGAAAAATGGTTTCTAAGCAGCCACCTCAAGTATATACTCTTGGTAAGGATATTTTCATTAAAAAGAGAGTGGTCAAATCATTGTTAGACTAGATACCAAGAAGAGCAGTTAACAGCCACCAGACTCTTGTCTGAGAGTCAGCTGGGAGCATGGCTGGTTTCCCAGATCGAGGCTTAATTCCATTAAAGCTCATCAGGAAATTGCTAAAGCATTTTATCAGGAATGCTCATTTCTCCCCACTGGGAGGTTGTGAATTACATCATGCAAATAAGTTCTGCCCCAGACCAGGTTTGGGACAATTTTTCTTTTACACAACAAATTGTCAACACACGCCTCAACAGGCAGTGTACTAAGGTGTCATGGAGGAGGCCAAAATGAGGGGGACACCATCCTTGACCTTGAGGATCCTAGGCAAGGTAAGACAAAGTGCTACGCGAGGAAGCAAGGTGCAGTGGGCAGGCGAATCGAGGAAAGGCCTGTCGTCCTCGCAGCATTTGAGGGGCTCCTCCTAGGGAGGTGTTCCAGGCAGAGGGGAGCAGCATGAGCAAAGGCGTAGAGGCATGATGGTTACAGTGGTCTGGGGGACCGTGACAGTCAGTTTGGCTGAAGGGGAACATTTAGAAATGGGGAAAAGAGAGAAGGAAAAGCCAGAAAAGTGGCTCTGAAGCCCAGAGCCAAGGAGGACTTAGGAGACCCTCTAGTCTAATGTCCTCGTTTTACAGCAGAGGCCAGTTTGAGAAATTTTGCCTAGTCCCACAGGCCGGGGTGGAGGAGGCTGAAGGGTTCTGAGGATCTCCGTGCATTTTTCAGTAGGCAACAGGGAAGGACAAGGAACAGGTAATGGAAGTTCAGAGGAGAGATGTCCAATGGAGGGATTCCAGGAAGACTTCTCAGAGGAGGAGGCAGAGATGATGGACCAAGGGGCCTAACAGTGACCAGGGATAGTCTTTACGTAAGAGAGACTGTGATACCTTTTGGTCACAGTAAGTCACATTTACTTGCATCCCTTGTTACTTGTGCATCCCCAGCCCCAAACACCCGTTCCCCTTGCCAGGCCACTCTGGGTCTCTAGAGCAGCCAGAGTAACCAGGGGCAAGAGAGAGAAACTTCCAAAATGAGCCTCTTTCATCTTACAGCTTGAGGGGCCTGAGAGGTCCCAGAATGCAGCCTCTCCTCCCACACCAGCCATCCTCCTCCTCCTCACACTGCAAGCTGCCACCCTCCTGCTTTAAGGTGTGAGCACTTTCTCCTGACACCATAGTAGTTACAGCTAACAGTTCCTGAGTGCTGGGTCCTATTCTAAGCACTTCGCAAATAATATCTCATTTAAGCTTCACAACAACTCTTTAAGGAGGGTACTAATATTATCCCCATTTTTCAGCTGAGGTTTGGTTAAGCCACTTGTGAAAGCTCTCATAGCTAGTGAGGGGCCACACTACGAGCTAAACCCCGGTCCTTTGACTTCAGAGCCTACGCATCTGACCACTCTACTGCACTGCCCGTGCTTCTCCATCACTCACTTTCCTCACTCCCGACCCGTCGGGACCCCGGCCTTTTCCTCTCCTCTAGCTCCTTACTACACCAGTGGAGGCACATTGGGCCTGAAACTGGACATCTAGCCAAGGAGAAGGAGGGGGCTCTTGGCGGTATCAGTTCACAGATTTCAAAGTGCTTTCCCATACATTTTCTTGTCTGAGCCGTTAAGACAGTCCGATAAGGAAGGATTGAAATGATTTTATTGTCATCCCATAGAAAAGGAAATAGAGACTCAGTGATGTGATGTGACTTCCTCAATAACCAGAGGTGCTTTGGGCCCGGTGCTTCCCCGACTCTATCACGCTCCCTCTTCCCCAGCCTGGGATTTCTTCCTTCTTGGGAGTCAGCCTGGGTCAGATGCTCCCTTAAATGAGGCAAGGGAGAGGGCTGTGCCACTAGGAGTCTTGAACACAGGAGCCTGCTTCAACCCCTGGAGTGCCAGGCCCAGCTGTCCTGTTGTTTAGACCAGGTCCACCTGTGGGGCCAAGGCTTCTGGAACTGACCACCAGAATGAAGGGTGACTTGGGAGTGAGTGACTGTAGCTGAGAAGTATGTGAAGCAAGAACCCACCCCGGCCCCCTTTGATGGGGGGCGGCAGGCAGGGTTGGGGAGGGAGTAGCAAAACCTTGTTCTCTAAATCCTTAGAGGGCGCTGGTCCACATGTGGCTGGACTGGGGCTTTGTCTGGGGTTGGCAGTTCTGCGAACAGGATGACCCACTAGGAAAGCACAGGCTTAACGTAGCAAGACAGAAGGAGGCTCCCAGCATCGGCTCCCAGCTTGACACGGAGAAATTGATCCTGAGGAGGCAATCCAACGGAAGCCAAAAGCTGTTTGCCTCAAGATGTTCCCTGCGATGTTACCAAGGCAAAAAATTGGGGGGAAAAATGCAAAGTATCCAGCGAGCTATTCTGGCCAGCCACTCAGTAGACTCCAGTGGTGAGATGAACAGCATGGAAAAAGCTTTGTGGTATAAAGTTGACTCTCCATCACGCTGTGTCCCCTTAAGGATGACTCACGGAACAATCTCTCTCGGTCCCAGTGCCGAGAAACTCTGTGTTTCTCCAGGGCAGCTGCTGTGCTTTTATCTTGCGTGCTACATATCTGTCAGCTGACCATGTTTCCCTTTAACCTTGACTGTTGGGAAGCTCCAAAGCAAGTTTCCGGCCCATCTCCCACAAGCGCATGGCAGGAATTTCGTATACCAGTACTGCCCCTGGCTTTCTTTTCCTTTCTTTTTCCCAGTCTTCTATTTATTTGTAATCTTCTTGTATTGTATGCTGTGTTTGTCCACTATTTAAGGAAAAGTTTTTTTGGAATGGAATGGAATAGAGAGGAGAAAGATAAGAAAGGGAGAGAGAAAGTTAAATGAAAAAAAGCTGAGAGGAAAATGATTTTACTCACATTCCCTTCAGACTCAGCTGAAGAGCATCAGTTCTGCCAGTCTCTCGTGGACGTAAAGGGGTCGACACCTTTAACCGGTAATGTTAGAAACCTCTCAAATGATCGACAAAGCAGGAAGATGCAAAATGAAATAATGAGATGTCACTTTTCACCCAGAAAATTGGCAAAACTAGTTCTGACAATACCCAGTCTTGGCGTGGATGGACTAACAGACTCTTCTATGTGCTGATGGGGTAGGACTTGCTAATTGGGAAGAAGTTTGGGCCATGAAGATGCACATACACATGACTGAGCAATCACACACCTAAGTGTCTAAACTGTAGAGAAGCTCTTAGACAGGTTTGCTTCAGCGTTATTTGTAATAACAAAAATAAGGCAATATTCCAAATGTCCTCAAAGGGAGAATCAAAAGTGAATTGTGATCTCCCCTCACAATAGAATATCACACAGCAATGAAAATGAATGAATCAGAGCTACGCATCCTGTGATGGACAGAGCTCAAAACACAATGTTGAGCAAAAACAGCAGAGAGTAAAAGGTCATATATGTTTGATTCCATTTCTATAAAGTTTTAAATGGCAAAAACCATATTATATCGTGTTTATGGGTCCATATATACATTTTAAGGGTATAAAGACATGAATGGGAACAATAACCCCCTCGGACAGGACAGACGAAAGGAAGAGGAGAGTGATCAGAGGAGGGTGGTCATGGGTGCGGGGTACACCCATGTGGATGATATTATTATCTATTCTTTTTGGTATGGCTAAAACATTTCATTAAAACACAGAAAAATGATGTGAACACTGTCATTGCAACTGGGTAAGACATTCTGCCTGCCTCAGGACAAAGATGGGAAGGAAATGTGTGACAAACTCTGGTGTTGGGGAGGTAGGAGCGTGGGTGAGGGTAACAACAATGTCCCAGCTGTTCATAAGAGCATGGGAAGGTGTCACTGGCTGTGATGGGGCCTCTCTTGCAGGCTTCGTGGTCCAAGGCTCCAATGGCGAGTTCCCCTTCCTGACCAGCAGTGAGCGCCTGGAGGTGGTGAGCCGCGTGCGCCAGGCCATGTCCAAGGACAAGCTCCTGCTAGCCGGTTCCGGCTGCGAGTGTGAGGCCACAATGCCTGGGGCCCGGGGCATGGCTGGGTGTGGGGGGACCAGGCTCCTTGGCCCCAGCTGGGTCCAGTCTGTTCGTCCTGTCTCTTCTGCGCCCCTTGCTTGCTCCAGGGTCCTAGCCCAGCCCTCCTTCCTCCTGCTGTTGCCCTCTGTGGCCTAGAGGGAAGACTTCCTCTTTCCTCCTGCAGCCACTCAAGCCACGGTGGAGATGACCTTGAGCATGGCCCAGGTCGGGGCTGATGCCGCCATGGTGGTGACCCCTTGCTACTATCGAGGCCGCATGAACAGTGCTGCCCTCATTCACCACTACACCAAGGTGGGTGTGAGGGGTGGGCATGGGTTTGAGGCCTGGGACCCAGAGGATGCTGGATGAGGTGAGACTCTCCCTAGCGAGGGAAGATGAGATGAGCTGGGAGCAGAGTGGTGGGCCTCCTTCCCACAAATGGCAACTATGGGAAAGGGGAGAGATGCTACTAGGTACCAGCTGTGTGACATTGGGTAACTGACCTAACCATGCTGTGTCGCTGTTTCCTCCCCTCTCAAACGGGAGGAATAATGATGTCTTCCCCACTGGGTTGTTGTGAGGACTAAAGTCTATCAAAACATATGGGGCTTAGGACTGTGCCTGGCACATAGAAAGCGCTCACTAAGTATTACCCATTACTATTGCTAAGAATCAGGGTACGCGGCATTGTGACTTCTAGTCCAGAAGGCGGGCTGTCCAGGAGGCCCTGCAGTGACCCAGGCCCGGACCTGATGGGGGCAGGCAGTGCCTCGGGTTCCTCAGGCTGGGCGGCTGCCCTCTCCCCCTTCTCTGTGCCCCTCAGGTTGCTGACCTCTCTCCAATTCCTGTGGTGCTGTATAGTGTTCCAGCCAACACAGGGCTGGACCTGCCTGTGGATGCAGTGGTCACGCTGTCCCAGCACCCGAACATCGTGGGCATCAAGGACAGCGGTGGTGATGTGAGTGGCAGCAGCTCCTGGCTGGGGCTCCCTCCTCCTCTCCTCTTTGGCTACAACTTCAGGGCAGCTCTGGGACCCACTTCAGCCCTGGGCTCCTGTTTGGCTTCTGTCTGTCGTGTGGGCTCTCTGGGGCTCCTGAACTTTGGAGCTTCTCTCTGGGACCTGGGCTCTCATCCTCCCACCATCCAGGCTGGCAGCAGAGGCTCAGGGCCCAGTTCCCACACCGGGTTTGCTGTTGCAGGTGACCAGGATCGGGCTCATTGTTCACAAGACCAGGAGGCAGGATTTCCAGGTGTTGGCTGGATCGGCTGGCTTCCTGTTGCCCAGCTATGCCATGGGTAGGCCTCCTGCTGCTCTCGCACTGTGATGAGTGACCAAGAGAGATCCAGGCAGCTGGGGTCTGCTGGGAGAGACTGTGAGGGCTGGGCTGGGACTGCAGAGGGCTTTTGCCAGGTTGCCTGCTCAGAAACCTCAGAAGTCTGGCACATTGCTTGCTTGTCTGAATACCGGGTACTTGTGAATGACCTTGCTGGGTGGAAGAGGGTGGGCACAATCTCTGGCCTGCAGTAGGGATGCCTGCAATTTGCTCTAAGTCCCGAGCTCCCTGTCTAGGTGACAGATTTAGCTCCTGTAATCTCACCTTGTAAATCATTCTCTGAGGGCAGAGGCTTTGAGGCCCTCCCCTCTTGTCTGGGAGTCCATTTTCCTCTCTCCTGGTCCCAGGCCAGATGAGTTGTCAGACCTGTAGACCTGGGCCAAGGATCTTCAGCAGCCTGAGTAGATGCTGTTCCAGTCCAGGATCCTAGGAATGTCACCATCAGACCAACTGCTCTTGTCTGTTTTGGGTCAAGGTCCTTGGGTTCAGGTTAGGTTTGAGCCTGGGAGGGGCCGGGGGGAAAAATCTGCTCCCTTCAGCTGAAGCCCCAGTGAGTACAGATTGAAGTTACTTTTCCAGCGCTGCAGGAGGCTGTGCTGGTTCCTGTTCTCTTTGGTCTCTGCACACTTTGGCTTGTTGTCTAGGTCCCTCTGCCATGTCTCAGTCTCTAAAGTGCAGAGGAAGAAGAGGGGACCTGTTTACGCCTCGTTCCTGAGAGTGGGGTAGATGGAAAGAGCACAGGCTCCGGAGACCAGAGCATCTGAGCTGGAATCTCAGCTCTGCCGTTTATTCACTGACTCCCACTAAGCAAGATACTCCACCTCTCTGGGCCTGAGTTTCTACTCTGCAAAGCAGGGCTGTGTTGTGAGGATTAGAGAGCTTCGGCCCTGTGTCTGCCATAGCGCTTGGTGCATAGTAGGTATTCAATAAATGGCAGCTATATTAGCTCATTCCAAATGGCCAACTCTCTCTCCAGTCTTGAGGCCACTCTGTTTAAGGTCACTCCTAACAAGCCTTAGAATCACACTCGCAGGCTGGCAGGGCCTTCTGAGATCACAGCCAGCCCATTTTCATTGCCCACATGAGAACAAAGAGGACCAGAGAGTCTATGACTTGTCCGTGCAGCCAACGGGAGGAAGTACCCAGTCTCCTGAATGTGTCCAGAACTCTTTCCACTCCCCCACCCCCAGCTGTCCCAGCTGAATTCACTGGGGAGAATAAGATTTCAGAAGAGCAGAGGTTTCCCATTCACTCCACCCCATTCCGGGACTGATGAGTCAGGGGGCTATTGGAGGAGCATGGAGGTGTCAACTGGCAGGTGGGACTTTGATCTGGGGGGTGGGGGTGCAGGGATGAAGTGTCCTTGAGTTAGCCTTCAGGCTCTGCTCCCTGCCCTTCACGGAACAGTTCCAAGCAGCACGCAGCCTGTGGGATTCTGCTTCAAATATGCTGGCAGCTTTCTCTGGAAAGCTGTACTCTGTGGACTCACAGAGCATGCCTTTGATGTGGCCAACAGTGTCACAGAAATCCACATCCTATGTCCCCAGAATAAAGAGGTGCTGGGGACCAGGGTTTGGAATTCTCCGTGAGAAGAGGCTCTGGCTGATGTTCTGCATTTTGCTCTGGGGCAGGAGCTGTGGGGGGCATATGTGCCCTGGCCAACGTCCTGGGGGCTCAGGTGTGCCAGCTGGAGCGACTCTGCCGCACAGGGCAATGGGAAGATGCCCAGAAGCTGCAGCATCGCCTCATTGAGCCAAACACTGCGGTGAGCTCCCAGCCAGGGGCCCCAAAGGGTGGGGAAGTGGGGGGGTTGTGTTCTCACTGGAGCAGGAGCCAGGGAGGGCACAGGGGTCCCCACTCAGGCTCTTCCCTTTCAGGGAACATCCCAGTGTGGGAACTCCTTGTGCATCCCCAGAAAATCTTGACTTCAGACAAAGTTGAGCCCCATTGGTTCTCAAACTTAAGCATGCATTAGAATTGATTTAGGGAGCTAGTTAAAATTCTAGTCCTTTAGGCCCAGGGCTATGCATCGAGGCAAGCATCCTGGGTGATCGTGACATAAGTAATCCTGGGGCCTTACTCAGAGACGCACTGCCTAGAGAGAGGGAGCCATGGGCCTTTATATCAGCTTTATAAGGGGACAGATCCTGAAAGACAGAATGATTGGGAGTAGTTGAGGAGGAGTTGGAAGTCTGGAGGTATTCAGAGTCCAGATTTCCCAGGGGACTTCTGTCTTCAAATGATCTATTCTCCAGTCAGACCATGTACCCCACTTCTGTGTGGGGCAGGTCAAGGAGAAGAGCCAAGACGGAACGACTGTCCAGTGCCAGGCGGTGCTGTGCAGAGCCACACTGGAGTCCGAGGCAGAAAGAAAAATGTGTGTCTCTATAGACATGCCTTTATCTATATTTTATTTATTTATTTATTTTATTATTTTTTTTAAGATTTTATTTTTCCTTTTTCTCCCCAAAGCCCCCCAGTACATAGTTGTATATTCTTCGTTGTGGGTCCTTCTAGTTGTGGCATGTGGGACGTTGCCTCAGCATGGTTTGATGAGCAGTGCCATGTCCGCGCCCAGGATTCGAACCAACGAAACACTGGGCCGCCTGCAGCAGAGCGCAAGAACTTAACCACTCGGCCACGGGGCCAGCCCCCTTTATCTATATTTTAAATTAAACTTTTTAGTCAGAGATAATTGTAGATCCTCATGAAATTGTGAGAAATAATATAAAGAGATCCCGTGTACCCATTACCCAGTTTCCCCCAGTGGTGACATCTTACAAAACTACAGTACAACGTACAAGCAGGATTTGACATTGATGTAGTCAAGATACAGAATGTTCCCATCACCACCAGGATCCGTCATGGTACACTCTGATAGCCACACCTACTCACCGTCTGCCTCCACCCTGCCTGAACCCCTGGCAACCACGAATACGTTCACCATTTTCATAATTTTGCCAGTTCAAGACTTTATATAAATGGTACTGCATATGACCTTTTGAGATTGGCTTTTTTTCACTCAGCATAATTCTCTGGAGATTCATCCAGGCTGTTACATGTATCAGGAGCCAGTTCCTTTTCATCAGTGAGTAGTATTTCATGGTATGGCCATACCACAGCTTGTTTAACCATTCACCTGTTGAAGGACAGCTGGTTGTTTCCAGTTTTTGATTATTAAAAGCTGCCCCGTGGCCGAGTGGTTAACTTCACATGCTCCGCTTCAGCAGCCCAGGGTTTTGCTGGTTGGGATCCTGGGCACAATCATGGCACCGCTCATCAGGCCATGTTGAGGCAGCGTCCCACATGCTACAACTAGAAGGACCCACAACTAAAAATATACAACTATGTACTGGGGAGCTTTGGTGAGAAAAAGGAAAAATAAAATCTTTAAAAAAGAAAAAAAAGCTGCTATGGGGACCCACCCAGTGGCGTAGTGGTTAAGTTTGGCACACTCCACTTTGGCAGCCCAGGTTCACAGGTGTGGATCCCGGGCACAGACCTACACTACTCATCAGCCATGCTGTGGTGGCGACCCACATATAAAGTGGAGGAAGATTGGCAGAGATGTTAGCTGAGGGCTAATCTTCCTCAGAAAAAAAAGAAGCTGCTATGAACATTCATGTGGAAGTTTTTGTGTGACCATAAGTTTTCATCTTTCTGGGATAAAAAATACATAATTGGTGGATTGTATGATGGGTTGCATGTTTAGTTTTTTTACGAAACTGACAAACTGTTTCCAGGGTGGCTATACCATTTTACATTTACATCAACGTGAGTGTACGAGTGATCCAGTTTCTCTGCATCCTCACCAGGATTTGGTGTTGTGATAATTTTTTTTCATCCCCAAAGCCCCAGTGCATGGTCGTATATCCTAGTTGTAAGTCATTCTAATTCTTCTACATGAGCTGTCACCACAGCATGGCAGCTGACAGATGGGTGGTGTGGTTCCATGACCAGAAAGTGAACCAGGACCACCAAAGCGGTGAGCACTGAATTTTAACTACAGACCATCAGGGCTGGATGGACTATTTTTTGTTTTAGCCATTCTGATAGGTGTGTACTGACATACTGTGGTTTTAATTTGCATTTCTCTGATGGCTAATGCTATTGAATATCTTATCATGTATTTATTTTCCATCTGTATATCCTCTTAGATGAGATGTCTATTTAATGTCTCTTGCTCATTTTCTAATTGAATTGTTTGTTTTCTTACTGTTGAGTTTTGGGAGTTCGTTATATCTTCTAGATACTAGTCGTCTGCCAGATACGTGGTTTGCAAATATTTTCTCCCAGTCTGTAGCTTGTCTTGTCATTCTCTTAACAGGTCTTTTACAGAGCAAAAGTTTTAATTTTGATGAAGCCCAATTTATCAATATTTTCCTTCATGTTTATGCTTTTGATGTTAAGTCTAAGAACTCTTTCCCTAACACTAGATAGTAAAGATTTTCTCTTATTTTTTCCCCAAAAGTTTTATAGGTTTATATTTTACAAGTCTGTGACCCACTTTGAGTTAATTTTTGTATAAAGTATGAGACTTAGATCAAGGTTCTTTTTTTTTCACCTATAGACATCCACTTGCCCCAGCACCATTTGTTGAAAAGATGATCTTTTCCTCCATTGAATTGCTTTTGCACCTTTGTCAAAAATCAGTTGGGCGTATTTGTGTGGGTCTATTTCTGGATTCTCTATTCTTCCCATTGATCTATCCCTTTGCAATACCACACAGACTTGATTACTGTAGACATATAATAAATCTCAAAATCAAGTAGACCACTTCCTCCCACTTCGTTCTTTTTCTTTCAAAGTTGTTTTAGCTAGTCTAATTCCTTTACGTTTCCATATAAATTTTAGAATAGTCTTGTCTATATCTACAAATACTCTTGCTGGAATTTTTATAGGAATTGTATTAAACCTGTATACCAATTTGGGGACAACTGACGTTTTTCCTATGTGGGCTTCAAATCCTTGAATATGGCATGTCTCTCCATTTATGTAGACCATCTTTGATTTATTTTAGCAGCATTTTGTAGTATTTGGCAAACAAGTCCTGTACAAGTTTTGAGAGATTTATACCTAAATGGCTCATATTTTTTGAGTGATTATAAATGGTATTATATTTTTTATTTCACCATTCATGTATTCATTGCTAGTATAAAGAAACACAATTGATTTTTGCGTGTTTATCTTGTATCTTTTTTTTTGTATAGTTCAATGAGATTTTTTTTAATGCTTTTTGGTGAGGAAAATTGGTCCTGAGCTAACATCTGTTGTCAATCTTCCTCTTTTTTTTTCCTCCCCAAAGCCCCAGTACATAGTTGTATATCATAATTGTAGGTCATTCTAGTTATTCTATGTGGGATACTCCCATAGCATGGCTTGATGAGTGGTGTATATGTCCGCACCCAGGATCCGAACCAGAAAACCCTGGGCTGCTGAAGCAGAGCACACAAACTTAACTGCTCAGCGACAGGGCCAGTCCATATCTTGTATCTTATGACTTTGCTGAACTCTCTTATTAGTTCTGGGAGTTGTTCTGTAGATTCCTTGGGATTTTCTACGTAGACAATCATATCATCTACAAACAGGGAGAGTTCCATTTCTTCTTTGTCTGATCTGTATGCCTTTTGTTTCTTTTCTTGCCTTATTGCGCAGCCTAGAACTTCCTGCACTGCACTGAATAAGAGTGACCTTGTTCTTGATCCAAAGGAAAGGCATTCAGCCTCTCACCACCGAGTAGAGGACAGCTCTAGGTTTCTGCAGAGGCTCTTTATCAAGTTGAGGAAGTTCCCTTCTAGTCCTAGGTTTCAGAGTTTTTTTAAAGTCATGAATGGGTGTTGAATTTTGTCAAATGCTTTTCTGCATCGATTGAGAGGATCATGTGACTTTTTCCCTCTTTAGCCTGTTAACATGGTGGATTACATTGATTAATTTTCAAGTTTTGAACCAGACTTGCGTCCCTGGACTAAACCCCACTTGGTCGTGGTGTGTAATTCTTTTTATATATTTCTGAATTCCATTTGCTAGTACTTTGTAAAGGATTTTTCTGTCTATATTCATGAGGGATATTGGTACGTAGTTTTATTTTTTTTGGTCTGTCTTTGTCTAATTTTGGTATCATTATAAATTGTTTGGGAAGTGTTCCCTTCTCTTCTATTTTCTGGATGAGACTGTGTAGAATTGGTGTTAAATCTTCTTCAAACATTTTTAGAATTCTCCAGTGAAACCATCTTGGCCTGGAGACTTCTTTCTGGGGAGTTAAAAAAAACTATAGCTCTGCGGTATGCTCTGCACTTGGGCTTTACCGATACCTTGCTGGCCGGAAGGCATAGAAGTGCCTCCTTTCTGCTCCCTGTGTGGCCTCCATTGATATCACCAGGGTGTGTGTGTTGAGGGGGAGGGCCTCCTTCAGGGTGGGCAATGGTGGGAGTTCTGACTCTTCTCACTAGGCCTCTTTGGGTGGGGAGGGGCACTTTTTACTGCTGAGTGTGGGGTAGAAGTACTGGATCCCAATTCAGCCTTTGCTGGCCTGGGTTGGGGTGGGGCCACAGTGTCTTCTGTGCGGTTTGGCTGGAGTAGAGCGATTATTGTCTAAAAGTTTTCTATCTTGTTAAATTGCCCCTTTCTCGGTCCTTGGCTAGAGAGAGCAGGCTTCTGCTGGGGCTTTTGTTGTCTGTGCCCGTGGGCATTCCTGGGCCAGGAACTCATCACTTGCTTCTTGGGTCCCGAGGTGCCTAGTCAATCTTCCTTCTCTCTACCTTTCAGACTCTGCTTTTACATAACGTCCAGGGTTTTTCAGTGGTACTTACTGGAAGGAATAGGGAAAAGTACATTTATTCCATCTTCCTGGAAGTAGAAGCTCTGAGCAGTTTTCTAAATGGTGATTTTTTTTTCCCCGCATACCACCAGGACAGGACAAGGAGGAACTTCCAGGGCTCTTGGGGACTGGTCTAAGAGTGGTATCTTTCTCGTCCGATTCTTGTGACTCAGGGTGGGTGTTGTTATCACCTCATTTCACACAGCTTGGGCTGCCCCTTGGGAAGAGAGGATGCTTGCTGCCATCCTAGTTCTCTGCATGCCATCCTGCCTTACCCTTCACTCTGTGCCTCTCCTGTGCCAGCTCTGGGCACACACTCTGGAATGCCTGGAATTTATCCTGCTGCCTGGGCTGTAGGCTCAGTCACCCCAAGAGCAGCTTGATGTCACCCTATTGCCCTGCCCTCCTTGAACACAATGTGCTTCCTCCATTCCTGCCCCGGCTATATTTAGGACTTTCCATGGTCTTTACCACCAGAGCATTCAACCCTTTCTCAGGTCTGAAGAGGGGCAAATCAGAGATCTTCAGAGATCTTCAGAGACCTGTGGTGGGAGAAAGCTTTTCTCTAGCTACTTATTTCCATCTTCACCTCTAGGTCTTTCCCACCCTACTCAGGTTTTGGTTGAAATGTCCAGGTTATTAGAACCTCATGGCTGGGGCCAGGCCTGGGAGGAGATTGGCTAAAGCCTGCTGGCCTCTAGTGGTGAATAGTTATTAGTTGATCACTCATCAGTGATTCCCAACTTTTTATCCCAAACAACCTTTTATTATTTTTACCCTGCATGAAGCCCATAATTCTAAGGTTTTACCTTCCCTCCAAATAAAACTTTAAGTAATGATTACTTTCCTAGTTTTTAGGTAGTCAAAGATTCATCTAACACTTCTGATCAGCAGGAAGTAACTAGTTGCTATGCTAAAAGCAAAGAAACTTGGTTTCATTTTCCATAAAACTCCATGCATGATTTTAAATTACGACAATAGCTCTAGGTCCCCATTACAATGGAAAAGACTTCAGACATCATGTTGTCCAGCCCCCTCATTTTTTAGGCAAGAGAACTGCTTAGAGATAATAAGTTAGTGATACAAGCTCACACAGTGAAACTTCTTCGGACAGCGAGGCATTGTTTTTCCTGTGGGAGCATTTAGAGTTGCGGTCAGGGAGGAGCTATGGGTGAGGTGGGGGGCCCCACTGCAGGGGCACTAGAGGCCTGCCATGCCTGGGTCAGCTTCCTGGCTCAAGTGCCCAGACCTGCAGCATGGCTGCCTTCGCCCATCCCAGCTGGAAGACTGAATGCCACTCTCCTCCCCAAGGGGGTGGGTTTTTGTCCTAAAGCTAAAGGAGGTGCCTTCCTTCCTTAATCTGAGGTTTTGGCATTGTGTTCTCTACTGCCGACCTGCCTTCTCGTCTCTCAGTCTGGATTCCCAATCTACCCTGCATGTCACAGATTTGGTAGTTACCTCCCGGCAGGGGCGGGGGGCGGGGAGAAGGTGAGATCCCTAACTTTCTGAAAGTGACACATCTGGGTCCCAGCTATGTGTGTGCAGGGGATTCCTCAGTCTCTTCTAACAGGCCCTACTTCTCAGGTGACCCGGCGCTTTGGGATCCCGGGGCTGAAGAAAACCATGGACTGGTTTGGCTACTATGGAGGCCCCTGCCGTGCCCCCTTGCAGGAGCTGAGCCCCGCTGAGGAGGAGGCCCTGCGCACGGACTTCACCAGCAATGGCTGGCTCTGAGGCAAGGAGGGACATGCCCGACCTGAGCCCATCTCAGCTCCTGCCTTGCACCTGTAGCCTGAAGAGGAACATGGGGGGACAAGGGTTTGGGGCTCCTTTCCCTCCTCAGTCTCCAGGTAGCCTCCCACCAGGCACTTCTGACCACGCTCCTTTCCTGTTCTCACAGTCCTATGACTTCTCACATTTTTGTATCCTCAGCTCTGGGTCTCTAGAGACCTTCAGTCTGGCAAGGAGCAATTGCTGTGCTTTCCTATGCCCCAAGACACGTGAACCAGGGGGAAGGGCAGGAGGCAACTAGGTGCAGTGAGGCCTGGGATTTTACTAAAGGGAAGACTATTTAGACTTGGGTCTTTGTGCTACCAGGTCCACAGAACCACTAGATTATACCGGGAGGCAGTCTAGGACAGGATAAGATAGTGTTTAAGAGCATGGGCCCTAGAGCCAGCTGCCAGTGTTCAGATTCTAACTTGCACATGTTAGCTGGGTGAGCTTACCTAACTTACCCTCAGTTTCCTCATCTGGAAAGTGGAAATAATACCTGAGTCTAGTCCAAGCAGTGGAAGCCAGAGCTATTCCTAAGAACTCAAGTTCTGATTCCTTCCAGGAGAAGTGGTAGGTTAGGAAACCTGATCAGAAAAGTGTCACTGGTCTTTGAAAGGCTCCAAAGCTGTATTCCAGCCACAGGGCCCTTTCCTAAGCCCATTTCAATGGATCTCACATTCTTGTCTCTAGCCTGATCTCAACCATCACGTGCACAGAGAGAGGCAGTAGTTTGCCAGAACTGGTAAATAATGACAACTGGTGGATAAATGTTACATTCTAGAAGACTATTCTAGCCAACCCCAGGTCTGAAACATTAGCGAAGGGGACTTGGCCTGAGACAGGACCACCTTCTTGCCTATAGGCACTCTGCTTTTATTGCTAAAAATAATTACTTTGTTATTGCAATAAAGTTAATAAGTAAAACTAGCGTGGCTATGCACAGGATGACACTCCACTGCTATGAGGATCTTGTTTCCTGCCTGGATGTCAAGAACCTTCTGAGAGGAAATTTAGCTCTCAAGGTCTGCTTTTCCCAGCTCTGACAGAGGCTCTAATGATACTGAGCAAACACAGGTTATTAGCTTAGTGGCAGCCCAGGGAGAGGCTTAGAGAAGTTTCCGGTGGGACAGGTAAGAGGCAAAAAGGCTCAAGTGAGATATTTAGAAACACTTAGTGCATTAATCAAAAAGGCTGCTCTCTCCAAAATGTTTCACATTATTCAGTGACATCTGCCTAGTGGCAGAGAACCTGAGATGAATTTTTTTTAAAATGACTCTGGTTAAAATGAAAGGTAAACAGATCCTTAGTTAGGGCAAAGGCTGGAGGAGAGAATATAAAAGGTATCAACCTTCAGCTGAAACTGGGCATCTGGCAGGCACTGAAGTGTGGAGCTTAGCACCCGGCTTCTTCTCACAGGCAACTTCCGGAGGGTCTGGGCTCAGAGGAGAAGCAGGTTTAGGCTTGGAGCAAAAAGTTAGGGCTCAGGAGGCAGGCTAGTGTACTGGTGAAGGCTCAGCCTCCGGGCTTAAACAGGTCTAGGTTTAAGACCTTGGATCTACCCCTTATTGTCTATAGCACCTTGGGAAACTCCTTATCCACCCTGAGCTCATCTGTAATAGGGAGTTAATAATGGTACCTTCCTCTCGCGGCTGTGTATGATGGTACCTTTCTCTCTCGGCTGTGTATAGTGGTATCTTCCTCTCGCAGCTGTGTATGATCACGCATGTGAAGCGGATGGCGAGGCAGGTGAATGTTGCACATGTGAGCTCCGTTGGGGAAGTGGTACACTACCTGTTGCAGAGAAAGGGAACTCCAGGCAGGAGCTGACTTGCCTAAGTAACCCAGCAGGTGTGACAATGACTGGTCTCAGGACTTGGGCACTTGGATGCTCAGGGTGAGAAGAGTACAGTGGGAAGTGCTTTGGAACCAGAAAGACAGCTTACAAATCCCACTCAGCTCTGCTGCTTCCTGGTTTGGGCAACCTGAGCCTGATTAAAAAAAAAAAAATGCTTCTACCCCCCAGAGGTTTTGAGAATTAGATACTATGTAGCAAAATGTGCACTGTCAGTTCCAAACCCCTATCTGTGATTAACTTTTAGAAATGGTTGATATTCGTGAGGATGCAGAGCAAGAAAGTCAATAAAATGAAGTAGCGGCAGATCTGGTGATTTGTTTATTCCTCATAAACACTTGTTTCTACAGTACAATTCAGAGAATAAACAGAGGCACACGCCTATGATTTCCACCACAATCTGCTGTTGAGGAGACAGTGTGAGGATAAGGGGCTGGGGGGAGGGGTGTGTTTGGGTCACAGGGTAACTGGAGGCCCCTGTGATGAACTGTGCAGGGGTCCTATCAGTCAAGGGCTGACCCCCAGGCCTGACAGCCAAAGCTCCTAGTGGAAGAGTTACAGTGCGCCAAATGCTTTTAGTTCACCGCAGTCCTAGGATGGGTCCAAGTCTATCTAAACCCCAAGGGATGGAGGTGGGTCTGACCTACTAGTCCACGGGGAAGGAGCTGAGTCAGCCTAAGCCATCCCTAAGTTTACTCCATGACAGGGTCTGAAATAGCCCAGAGATGCCTGCCTTTTGCCCTGGAGTGAGGAATAAATACAAGTTATAAGACGACTGTTTACATCAGTTTCTTTCTTGACTAGCCCAAAAAGGGATCTTGTCCCATGTCTAAGGAAGGAGAGAGGCACAACTGGGGCACAAATTATCTGCTGAAACTCAGGTAAGGAAGACAGCCTGTGAAGTCAAGGAGAGGGAAACAGCACTCTTAGGGAATCCTTCACAGGGACAGGAAGGAAGACACGAACCCCAGTCTGGTCAGACAAAGCAGCAGGCCTGCAGCCATGATGCCGACCAGCAGTGAATGAGGGGCTAACACACAGAAAAGCTCTAGCCTTGACTCTCACAGACTGCCATACTGTGTAAGCCACCCCCATCTGTCTCCTTAATTCTCCAGGGTAGCACAAAGCACTCACCCTAATTTGGGGTTAGCATCATCTGTCCCAAATATAGGCAGAATGAAGAGCTTCCGCATCACTTGGCAGGAAAGAAGTAGAAGGCGGCAGCAGGTCTGCCCTGGGTATCCGAGGTGTGAGGGACAGAGTCTGTACCAATGAGTGAGAGAAAGGAAAGACAGCTGGAAACAAGTGCAGGGCCTGGGCCAGAACCAGCAGAACTTCTCTGTGACCGAACCCCTGACGGGCAGGCGACGGGCACATCACAGGGCTTCTGCTCTGTGGTCATTCTCACCTCCTCTCACATCTGGGGCGCTTGTTCACCTCCAGTGAATAACAGGGCATTTGCTCTACCCAATACCCGTCAGCTGTGCACGCTGACGCGTCAGGCAGTGAGGTTCCTGGCGGACTTGGAGGCGCTCTGGGCCCGCTGGACGACCGCTGAACACTTCTCACGCCGCAGCAGCTTGTTGTTCTCAAACAGACCTTCGTTGCGGGGTACTCCATGAGAACCATCAGGGAAGGTCAGCAGGCCTTTGAGGGGGACAGAGAAAATATGGGAGTGACAATGGCATTAACGACTCAGAGACCCAGGAAGAGAAAATCTGGCTCTTTTCAGGAGAACTCCATCGGTAGGGTCAATGGCCAGGCCTTAGAGCATCATCACTATGCACTGCTGAACACACACAGAAGGATTAAAGCTAAGAAGGTGTCCTTCCGCCCATATTATGCTCGCCTAAGTCACCCGTCCTGCTGGGCTGGAACTTACCAAAACCATCGACTCTGCCATTTTTAAATTCCCCCTCAAAGGTCATGTTGTCGTGTCGAATGAAGACTCCAACACCATTAAACTTGCCCTGGGCAAACTCGCCCTCATACCTGCAGAAACACAAGACGTTAGCCTTAGTGGGTAGCGAGCTGTCCAGGTCAACTGAGTCAAGCAGCTACCATATGTGGTACTTATTAAAGCCAAGGAGCAAAGCTGATTCCACTCATCTCAGAGCCCCACCCACCCCACTCCCAACCAGCAGGGAGGGTCAGAGAGTACATCTGACACGAGGCTCTAATCTCAAGGAGGAAATGTAAGAGAACAGCAGTGGGCTGGAAGGTCACTCACCTCCTCGCCACTTCAAAGTCTAGCTCTATTTATAAAGTCACCAAGGAAAGAACTGGTGCTTACCCTTCGCCTGTTTTCAGAGGGTCGGGGACAAGCTCAGGTTTGATCCGATATTTATCACTATCATTTTTAGATCAGAGCCTCCTGAGTTTAAAGCTGAGAAAGGAATGACCCAGTACCCACCTTGAGCCATCTGAGAAGGTCAGTACCCCAAAGCCATTAAAGAGCCCATTCTCAAAATGACCCAGGTATGTGCCACCATCTGCAAACATCAGTTGACCAAAACCATGTCTGCGGCCTGAGCAAAGAGAAGGACAGGAGTCAGGTTGGGATGGGGCAGCTTCAGGGTCCCCTCTCACCATCTAACATCCCTTCTGTCACCCTACCCACAAAGAAAAGAAGAGAAGCAGTGACACTAGCAGGCAGAGAACCATTATCCAGAGTAATAACCTGGCTCCTGGGACCTTCCCATCTTAAGTCACAACCATCAGATTTGGAGCTGGTCTCTCCAGCTACGGAAAAATGAGAGAGCACTTAAAAATAACAATAGCTAACATTTACTGTGCCTTTCTCATGTTCCAGGCGCTCTTCTAAGCACTTGGTATTTATCATCTTACTTAAACCTCACAGCAACCTTATGAGGTAGACACGGAACTATTATTATTCCCATTAACAGATGCAAAAACCAAGGCAAGGAGAAGCTCAATAACTTACTTAAGATCATAGAGCCATTAAGCAGCAAAGCAAGAATGCAAATGCAGCAGACAGCCTGACACTGAACTACATTGCCTCTCTAGGAAAAAATAAAAGTACCCCTTAGCACTGTGAAGCCACGGGGCAAACCTACCAGCCAGACTGGCAACACTGGTTTGAACTTCGTTACATCCACAGGGCTGTGCTTCCCCACTGAACTGACCAGGAAACAGAGCCAGATGCTGGAGGAGCAATAATGCTCTTCAGACAGAGTACGAGGGAGTTTTTGGTGGATAGAGACTGCTCAGCAGAGCCTCAGGAAGTCTCTCCTCTCAAGGGTCAGATTAAAGGGGACAGCAGGTGTCTGGGAGGCAGGAGAAAAGGCTGGGGCTGTATGGAGGCAAGGTCATATCCCACCTGCACAATTTCTCCTCTCAAGGCTCAAAAATCCATGAGCTGCAGGCATCTACCGTGAAAAGGATGAGGCACGGGTCTGAAAAAAGTGTGAGCTGCTCTTTGCTGGCACACTGTAGAAAGTCAAGTCCCCTCGGAGCAGCTCCTGGCTTGCTAGGACTGGACCCACGAGCCTTTTAAGTGACCAGACTGTTTCCAAACCGAGCATCATTAAACTGCTTCCTGTACAGTCTCAGGCTCTGATGAATTGCACCATTCCTATGAATAGATACTTCCAAATGCAATGAGCTGTCACAGGAAATTCAAGGCAATGAATGTCATTTGCTCTTGAATGTCTGCCCTAATTTCCAGATCTTCCTTAATTTCTTAAGATTCACTGGAATCAAGTCACTGCAATTAATTCTGTACTTTCTAATTTATGGGCACTAAAAATAATTCATTTTACTTTGCTGAGTACATTAGCATTTATAAAAACAATTCCCAAATAATACCACTAAAGGATAAAAGGATGTTAAAACACTTTAAATTTAGAAGTGGAAAGATTTAACTTATTTCTGGAGGTTGGATTAAAAGTAGCATTTTCTAATTCCTTTATTTATAATCCTAAACTTGAATAAAGGAAAGGCAGTATTCGGATTAAATCTTGGAGTTAGAAATGAAGATTCATAAAGTTGGATTATATATCCTGATGTATATGTGTCCTTCAGCCAAATGAAGTGTTCATCACTAGATACCCCCAGGCGTCCTCTCACCCTCCTTCCACTCGCCACGATATTCCTCCCCACTGGAGTAGGTGAAGGAACCTTTCGTCAGGGTCATGGCGACAGCTTACAGAAGAATGAAAACTGCAGGAAACAAGCAGAGGAGATCCAGTGTCACAGGACGGCTGGAGGAAGGCCCGTGAAGCAATTTTGTAGACACCATTCTAAAGGCTACCAGCCTGATAAGTACATACTTCCTTGAGTACATTTAACAAAAACACCTACTTCTCCAGCCACAACCACCATCATCACCACCTCTGCCCAAGCAGTCTTACCCTCCCACTCGTCTTAAAAGTTTTTAGCTAGTTCCAATTTTCTATGACCTGGGATGGAAATTTAGGATTAATCTACAAATATTTACTTGATATCTACAATGTGCTTAGTTGATGTATAAAATATAGTTTCTTCCCTCAATGAGTTTATAATCTAATTGATAAGACTAACAGTTAAAACACTGAATAATATGAGAGATAATATAATTAAGTGCCAAATTGGATGGCAGAGATTAAAAAAGACAAGGGATGGGCAGAATTTAAAACAAGTGGTGAAGAAAGCAGAGGGCAAGTCCAGATGGAGAAAACATGGGGAATGAAAGCACAAAGAGCAACATAACAGGGACGTTCACGGATAAGAAGCCTGGTCTTACTGGTGTTGAAGGTTGATTTAGGAAGTAATAGGAAATAAATTTATCTAGGGGCACTCAGCCTACATTTTAAGTCTGAAAAGAACCCCTCAGATTTAATCCAAATTCCCTCATTCTACAGATGGAGAAACAGAAGCCCGGAGAGGTTACAAGCTAGTCGGTGACTGAGCTGGACCTAGTGCCCAGGGCTGCCCTGAGTGCTGCTAGTTCTTTCCCTGTACTATGCCCTCGATTTTAAGGTCAGGCCAGCTTAAGGAGACCTTTGAAAGCTAGGCTGAAGAGTTTATAGTTGATAAGGCGGGAAAAGAGGAAGCCTCTGGGGGTTTGTGAACAGGGATGTAATATGAATGCAGAGTGTAAGGAAAAGGAATGTGGCAGCACGAAGCAGGATGGGGTGGAGCAGCAAAAACTGACAGCCAGAAAATCTTGCAAGGCAGGAGACAGGATAATTCAGTAGATTGTGAAAACGAGCGCAGATTATTCTCCCTCCCTCCACACCCTTGCAATGTGACATGGCAGATCTTCCAATAAGGGCAGTTTATCTACTCCTCCATCCATTGGATCTGGGTGGATTATATGATTGCTTTGGCTAATGGAACGTTAGCCAAGGCAATATAGCAGAGGTTTGAAAAGTGCTTGTACATTGGGCTTGCCCTCCGCTGCACTTGGAACTGTTGTGCCCCATGTGAACGAGCCCAGGCTAGTCTGCTGGACGACAGGAGGCCACGTGGAACAGCCATCCGAGCCGACCACAGATGCATGGGTGAGCTCAGGCAAGACCAGAAGAGCTGCCCTTCGGAGCCCAGCCCCAAATTATTATTGACTCACAGAATCACAGACTAAAGAAATGGCTGTTGTTTCAAGCCACTGTGATTTGGGGTAGTATGTTATCACCTGGCAAAAACTAACTCGTACACCCAGGAATGAGATCATAAGGAGGATACCAGGGTAATGTGAGCAAAAGGAACGACTATGACAGATAGATCATAGGAAAAAAAAAACACCACCACAATCCAACAACATTTGGAGACTGGCTAGGTATGGCTTCACACGAGTCTAAAAGAACGCTTATATTCAAGAATATCCTATCAGAGGGGAGTTAAGATATCCAAAATACCACTAAACAGAAAGAGACAAATAAAATCATTTGACATATTTAAAAAATGCAATCTCTATTTCTTCTTAAAAATTCCCTAGGTCTTTTTACTCACCACTCCATCTTTTCCAACGTTTTCTCAAACGATTATGACAATGCAGAGTCCCAGGCCCACGTCCAGATCTACTCAATCAGATCCTGTACATTAGAGCCTGGGAATCGGCAGTTTTAACAAGCACGTCATTAGATTCATACACATTTGAAAACTTGTGGACTACTACCCAAATAAATGGAAATAATGCGTGTGAAAAGCTCTCTGACCAATAAATCACCATTGAAAGGTCCCCTGTTATTAATAATTAACTTAGAGTCTGACCCTCAGGCACCTGCTGAGTTCCAACAGGACAAGAACAGCTCTGCTTCAGAGCACTGGGGCCGGCCCTGGAGGATAAAACGGGAGGGGATTTTTAAATCCCTGTGGGCTCGGTGCCAACAGCTAGCTTCCTTTGCCTTCAAGTCCCAGAGAAGCCCAACTCACACACACTGTTAAGCGTTGTACTGATGTCTCCATTATGGAAAATCAAGACGGGAATATAAAGAGTAGGTTCCACAATAAAAGAGGGATCTAGCATATTTTATACAAAAATAACGCCTTAAATATTCAACTAAAACAAGACATACATTAAGTTCCTTTTCTCCAAATTGTGGTGGTGGACAGTGCTGGGTTATGTATAAGGTCAGCCAACACAAGCCTCTATTATCAACTGAGCTAACCCCAGAGAAGTTATTTGAAATACCTTTGTAACAGCAACTAACATTTATTGACTACTTACTATGTGCCATAAGTGTTTTTTAAATACATTATCTAATTTCATCTCACAACTTTATGAGGTGGGTATTATTATTTCCACTTTGCAGATGAGGAAACTGAGGTGCAGAGAGGGTAAGTAAGTTAAGTAAGGTCACCCAGCGAACATGTGCAAGTTAGAATCTGAACACGGCAGCTGGCTCTAGGGCCCATGCTCTTACACTATCTTATCCTGTCCTAGACTGCCTCCCGGTATAATCTAGTGGTTCTGTGGACCCTGGTAGCACAAAGACCTGGGTTCAGATCCTGGTTCACTGTGTAACCTTAGGCAAGTTACTTAAGCGTGCAAACCTCAGTCTCCTCCTCTAGAAAGTGGACGTAATATACCTATTTCACAGAACTGGCATGTGGATTAAATTAAATAACATACATGAAAGTACCAAGAATACTGCCTACCCCTGTCCATTAAATGTTAGTCTTTTCCTCCTTCAAAAAGAGACAACTAAACTCACACATTTATTTACTGTAAAGGAAGTTTCTCTAAAGCTTCAATATAAAAACGCTACCAACATAATTCAAATAATATTTTGAAAAAATTCAGCAATTTTGACTAACGAGGTAAATACCAAGTAGAAGAAAAGCAAACTACAGTGACCACTCATCTGTTCTTTATCAACACCCTATGGGATATTTTAATTTTGGCTATGGCATAACGATTTTTTTTTATGTTTTTATTTTTTTAATTTTTTTATTTTTTAAAGATTTTATTTTTTCCTTTTTCTCCCCAAAGCCCCCTGGTACATAGTTGTATACTCTTAGTTGTGGGTCCTTCTAGTTGTGGCATGTGGGACGCTGTCTCAGCGTGGCTTGATGAGCAATGCCATGTCCTCGCCCAGGATTCGAACCAACAAAACACTGGGCCACCTGCAGCGGAGTGCGCGAACTTAACCACTCGGCCACGGGGCCAGCCCTCTATGGCATAATGATTTTTGATACAGGTGCCACAAGCCCAGCAATGGTCTGATGTGAAAACAGCCTGGTCTGAACAGAGCAGGGCTCAGCTACATCTTCCAGGCCCTGGCCCCATCCCAAAGCTCTAGATTCATCCCACCTATGAGGACAGATGAGTTCCGGGAATCCCTGTATTCGCACCCAAACACAGAGGAGCATTTATTTCTATCCCCATAAAGAGGGCCAGCTTTGTGGAAGCTCTTCTAGAGATGTTTGGGAGTCACTCCCATAAGTCCACCAGGAATTTCCTCACTTTTCTAATTACTCAGACACTTCATGCTCAGGGTCTCTCACACAGTAGATGTCCTGAGAGAAAGGTCCTTTTCTTCTTTCTCAAAGCCCCTCAAAACCTCTGAGGGCTATCTCCTCAGAGAGGTGATGCTGGTACCTGGGGTGCCATCTCTGTCCCATCAATGTTCCACAAGGTCAGCGTCCAATTTCAGGCTCCTAAGCTTCTTATTGTCAGTCCAGCATCAGAGTGTGCCTGGGGCAGTGGTCAACATGACTCCACTGCAAATACAACATTAATGAGAGGAAGAGAAGCAGTTTTCCATCAGAACTGCAGAGGAAAACTTGCCAGTCCAGCTAGGCATTATGATAGCTAGAGGCCATCTTCGGCTCTTCCCAGAACTAAGTCAGAGTACTAAAAGTCAGCTTATGGTACAACTCTGAAATACTTCATTCCTTCAAAACAAGTCAGAATCTGAAAGGTGGTATCTTCTATTAAATCTTATAACTAAACAGCCATTCCAAAATATAAACACAAAACCATTATTTATACAGGAAGATGATAAGGGCATTTCCTTTAAATGTTGGGCGGCAGTTAACTACTTTTGTCCTCACTCAGAGCTTTGGAAGGACTGTGTTGCTGTGCAATTCGAGGAGTCAGACTAACTACACAAAGGCTCATGGGGAGTAGCCTCTTGTATCTGTTCCTTTTTTCTCAAGGCTACATGAAACTCCCAAATGGTGGCATCCCACCTTGTTTCAGAGAGACCAGAAGAAGGCCCTGAAGGAAAGGGAACAGTGTTTGTCCAGTTTGAGGATTATCTATAGACAAAGTACTAGCCAGCCCTCAAATTGTAAACCTAGCCACTCTTTTGCTGTGATCTTAGCTCTTGGGAAATATACTCTAAATATTTGCAAGAAGTCAATGAAACTTGAAAGATCATTTTATTACCAAGTGTGGCAAATAGTATTTTCCAAAGAATTTGACCTTGCAATTGCCCCTTCAAAAGGTGGAGTCTAACTCCTCTCCTTTGAATCTGGGCAGGCTTGTGATTGCTTTCACCAATAGAACATGATGGAAACAATGCTATGTTCTGAGGTTCGATTACAAAAAGTAAGGCAAGTTCTCTCTTGCTCACTGGTAGGCTTGTCCTTGGAGACCTGAAACACCACAGGAGAAATCTGACTGCCCTGAGGCTACCAGGCTGAGCAGAAGCTGAGCCACATTTGCTGGTGCTCCGGTTGGCATTCCTCATCTCTGAATCATCCTAGCTCAGGCAAAGGAGCCCTGAGATGATTCCAGCCCCCAGCCATGGAGCCCGCATCCCAGAGGTATCATGGAGCAGAGAGAGGTCATTCCCATGAGGCCCTGTCCAAATTCCTGACTCACGGGATCTGTGAGCATCATATGATTATTTTAAGCAACTAAGTTTGGGGCAATTTGTTATACAGCAATAGCAACTGGAACATCCTCTCCCATTTGTTTTAAAAAGTACATACTATAAATTTCCATTTCTTTTTGTTTTTTGGGGTTTTGTGTGTGTGTGTGTTTTTCTTTTTTGAGGAAGATTAGCCCTTAGCTAACATCTGCTGCCAATCCTCCTCTTTTTGCTCAGGAAGACTGGCCCTGAGCTCACATCCATGCCCATCTTCTTCTGCTTTATATGTGGGACGCCTGCCACAGCACGGCTTTTGCAAAACGGTGCCATGTCTGCACCCGGGATCCAAACCGGCAAACCCTGGGCTGCCGAAGCACAACGTGCGCACTTAACTGCTGCGCCACCGGGCTAGTCCCCCTCCACTCCTTTTTTGTATCAGGGAGATACAGCAAACTTCCTTCAACTGTTGCTTGTCAAAATGAGGTCCATTCCCAAGAACACAATCAGAAGTGCTAATAAAAGGGAACAGATGTAGACTCCATGGGTCTCAGGCCATGGTTGAACACATTTGACTAGAAACTTCTATATGTGTCCAAATAACTGATATTGTCACTGCCTGGGACACAGTCAGGATTATCATATGACTTCTGTGTAGTCAGCCATGCTAACTAATAGTCAGCTGCATAGCCACTAACCCAAAAAGGAACTTCACCAGTAACCATGATCATTGAGACAAATCCAATTTAATAAAGTACACCCAGTGCTGATGTAGATTGAAAAACCCAGTACTTTAACAAGGGATGCAAAGTATTTGTATCAGTTATTCAAAAAATCTTTTTAAAGAGAATAGATGGCCTAGGAGTTTAGGCTTCAGATATGCATACGGAATCTAGTTATAAAGTCAACAAGATTCATGCTTCTAAACAGATACCCATCCTTCCTGCTCTCTTGATGGACGAGTTGCAAAGGATTAATCCAAACGTTTACCCAAAAGAAAACAACGATTTTGTCCCCGTAAACCAATACACGATAGTCTGCACAACAGACTATATCCCCACTATCCTTATTTTTTCCTGCCCCAGCCATTTCCAAATAGAACTTGGAGACAGGAATGAGAAGTTCTGTTTCTCTTCCATTTGTCTTTTTTTTAACTTCAGAAATCAAACTTGTTAAAAAATATTTATGCATTCAGTCACCTGTGTCCAAATTCAGAGGGTTTTTGAAAAAAACTAACATAAAGGAGAATCGGTTTTCAGTTTAAGAATATTGCTTGGAGGCAGTCACCTTAACTACCCACATACATCTTCACATTGTCCCCCTGAAGCCACCCTCCCTAGGCTATGACAGTGTTGTCAAAGCTGTTCGGTTATAAAGAAAGCATTTCTTAGGATTTTGAATCCTAAAGAGAAGAAAGTGAAGCCTTTGATGAACAAAGATTAGGCTTGTAAGGAATCCACAACAAGTCAAAGGTTCTTTTTTAAGCGTTTTAAATGAGCTTGATAAGTCTCTTTTACTAGGGCTTTCTTCTACTCGCAAAGTAAACAACTGTACCGCTACTAGATAAAGGTCTTACTTAGGAAGACTGTGGGACGGTTAGATTGAAGAAAGTGGGAAGGAAATCCTGGTAAGGAAAAAAAAAAGGGCGACTTGGGGGTGACGGGAACTGCCAGAATACTCTTCTATTTCGTGGGAAAGGAAAATGCCTGGGCCGGCTTCTAACACAGCCAACTTACTCCTGCTCGGACCCAAGCAGGCTGGAGATGCTGCACTGCAGGGATGCCACCATCAACTAATTGAGGCATCCCGTTCCCCAAGCCTCAATGTGTCTGTGTGGTGGGGGGCGTCTCTCTATCAGAGAGTGACAGAGCCGGGCCCGGAGCAAACAAAGCCCTAGAACGCAACAAACCAACACGTCCCCGTCGGCCTCCCCATTCCTTCTCCCACCTGGTTCTTGCCTTCCAGCACCGCTCCTTCCCTCTACTGGGTCTTCTCTCCGGCTCGGGCCGGGTCTTCTGCTCACACAGGTTTGCCATCCCCTCCTGACGCAGCCCCACCCACCGCGCTCGCTAACCCAGGTGCCCTGGGCTCTCCCAGGCCTCAGCCTACGCAGTGGGGACGAGAGACTCGGGTTTGGGACCCCTGGGGGCAGCCGCCCTCCAGTCAGCGCGTCCGGGATGGAGCTACGCTCCCCAGCCCCTGTCATCTCAGGCTGGGCTCCTCGGTCCCCACACTCTCCCGGCCCCCTCCCACCCGCGCTGCCAGCCAACCTGGGCTCGGCCTTTCGGGGTGACCGTCACGCCCCGACGCGGGGCTCCAGCGGCCCAGACCTCCGCTCGGCCGGGTTCGCCCCTGCCACCTGCCTCTCGGCCACTTCCACCAGCGCCTGCCCCACTTGACGCCGCCATCCCGGGCAGTCGCACTGGGCACAATTCCTTCTGCCCATTGGCTGTTACCTAGGCAACTGGGAGCAACGCCACTCCCCATTGGCCCAGCTCGGGCTCTGCGCCATCTTTGTGCGGGGCGGGGTGTCTCGAGAGCCGGAGCCAAACATCTGAAAAAGGCGTGGGACTGAACCGCGTCTCGGCCTCCGTGACAGGCAGAACTCAGCTCTCGCCTGCCTAGAGACGGGCTAGTTGACATGTCAGCCCCAAGCAAAGCCAAGCCAAACCTGCATCAGACGCAGCACTGCCCACCGATCCTGCCCCGTCTCCACAGCTGTCAATGGTACCGCCGCGGATTTGAAGGACCGAATCCGAACCCGGCTTTGGGGGTGCAGCTTTGTACATTGTAACGCGCTGGAGGGGGCAACTGCAGTTTAATGAGTGTCACCCCTGTGCCAGCACTGTGATATGAGGACACTTTTGCATTCATTGTAAGGATTTGTGTTGTCGTTGTCATTACTCAGATCCTTTGTGTTTAAAATACAGTGCCAAGATTAGAAGAAATCCTCCCAAGTACCATGCACACCAATCCGTTTATCCATATGCTTGTTTACTGAACAATGGGAATACAGAACGATGCTAGGTTCTGCCAGGCTAGAAAAGACAAGATCACTGCCCTCGTGGGACTTACTGCCTAAATGTGGAGTAGAAAAGATTCATGCACACAGAAAAATCCAAGACTGTATTTCATTATTAAGAGAAGGCAAGCAAATGAAGAGAGTAAGCAAATTGCTTTCTGAATTGGGATTTCCTCCTCTGTAGCATAGAAAATGATGATGATAATAACAATGACGATGATAAAGGCTGTCCAGGACTTGTATGAGAATACAATGGAAGATGCTCAGTACTGTGTCTGAGACATTGTCAGTGCTTGATAAATGGTAGTTTTAAAACACTTGGATTCTGTGTTCAAATCCCATCTCTGCCACCAACTGTGTGTGGCTTCATGAGCATTATTAAGCTCTCTAGCCTGTAAAATGAGATTGGACTAGCAGACCGGTAAGACCCAATCCAGCTCTAACATTCAATGGTTAAACATGCTAAACTGTGATTGACTATAGATATAATTACAGTAGTTGAGAGAATGGAGTGTCAAGAAAACATCTTATTAGATTGGAGAATGTGTATTTAAAAATATGAAGAAGTAAGGTTAAATAGATTGTGGTCAAATTATGGAGAGATCTGAAAAATCAGGGAGAAGATATATATGGTTTGCAAAATGTAGTTTCTTTTTTTTTTTTTTTTTGAGGAAGATTAGCCCTGAGCTAACATCTACTGCTAATCCTCATCTTCTTTTTCTTCCTCTTCTTCTTCTTCTTCTTTTTGCTGAGGAAGACTGGCTCTGAGCTAACATCCAGGCCCATCTTCCTCTACTTTATATATGGGATGCCTGCCACAGCATGGCTTGATAAGTGGTGTGTAGGTCCGCACCCCAGCATCCAAACCGGCAGACCCCGGGCCACTGAAGTGGAACCTGCACACTTAACTGCTACGCAACCAGGCCAGCCCCTCAAAATGTAGTTCCTTGAATAGGCAAATTCATGGACACAGAAAGTAGAATACAGGTTACCAGGATCTAGGGGAAGAGCGAGTTATTGCTTAATGGGCAGAGAGTTTTTGTTGGGGTGATGAAAAAGTTTTGGGTATAGATAGTGGTGATGGTTACACAAAATTGTCAATGGATTTAATGTTACTGAATTATACACTTATGAATCGTTAAATGATAAATATTATGTATATTTTACCACAATAAAAATGTAGTTTCTTGATCAGAGCAGTGACACAATGAAACTTGTGTTTTAAGAAAATTAATCTGGCAGTGATACCCATAGATGATCAGAGAGATATTGGAAGCAGAGAAACAAACTCAAAAACTATTGTAATCATGTAGCTAAGACATTCTGAGAGTCTCAGAACTAATGTGGGATCAGTGAAGATAAAGGGGATAAATATGAGACACATTTCATACAGATATTTAATAAGAAGCAATATAGTGTTAAAAGCACAGAGCTAGTCTGCCTGGTTTGGATCCAGCTCTGCCACTTACCAGCTGCATGACCATAAGCAAACGACTTTCCTCAGCTTCCGACATCATAGGGGCTGTAATGCCGGTTACATGACTTAATCCATGTAATGCACTTAATGCCTGACACATGCTTAGCATTTGGTAGAGGCTAGTTCTTCATTGGTAACAGGGAATGCACCGACCCTCTTTTTTTCAGTAAAAGGAAAATCAAGTTCTAAGAGGCAGATACAGAAATAAATTCTGACTGTTTTCCATGGAGAAAACTCAGAGCTCAAGAGAGAACTCTAAATCTTGGAGTTTTCCTTGACCACAATTTGAAGCTTAGGGGCTAAATGAGATGAGTAATACCAAGAGTTCATCTCTGTGGCTATGGCCCCTGGGTCACAAGAGGCAAGTGTTACTTAATTATTTGATGTCTGGATAGGAAAGGGAAATACAGGTCTTGTAACTAACAGGAGAAATTGAACCATCTGTATGGACCTTTGCCTAGAATGGTTTATTTGGTAAAAAAAAAGTTTAAGACATTCCCATACATACAATTAAACAATAGTTCTTTCAATTTAGTACTTCTAGTTAGCTGTGGCAATAATTTGATTCAAGAGGGGCTGGCCCCGTGGCTGAGTGGTTAAGTTCGCGCGCTCCGCTGCAGGCGGCCCAGTGTTTCGTTGGTTCGAATCCTGGGCGCGGACATGGCACTGCTCATCAGACCACGCTGAGGCAGCGTCTCACATGCCACAACTAGAAGGACCCACAACAAAGAATATACAACTATGTACCGGGGCGCTTTGGGGAGAAAAAGGAAAAAATAAAATCTTAAAAAAAAAAATTTGATTCAAGAAAGAATAATTATGAAATATTGATTACTGTGTGGCTGGTCATCTTTTGTGAAAACCCACGCCTCTAGTCTGCTGCTTACTTTAAGCACAGAAACAAAACCAGCATCAACGAAAACCTCAGCAGTGATAAAAAGGTACCATTTGTCAAACGCTTTTTATGTACTAAGCTCTATGCTAAGTGCTTTACATACATTATCTTGATTCTCATTTAATCCACTGAGAAAAGGATGATTATTCTCATTTTATAGATAACGAAACTGAAGCTTAGAGAGTTAAGTAACTCGTACAAAATAACTAATAAGTGTGGAACTGGTGTTCAAACTCAAATGTCTCTGATTTCTTCTTTTCTTCCTCTTTCCTCCCTGTGATCTAATTATATTCTTCCTTTAAAACTTAGCGCATAGCACATGCCCCGCTTAAGGCCTTTGCTGACTCCAGCCTACCTCCAAATCGCTGAACTCCTATTATGGAGTTCTCAGCTCTCACTGTCAGCTCTTTTTCTCCTAGTGCCTCACAGAGCTGTGTGTCTTCAGCTTGAGGGCAGGGACTATACCTTTCTTCTCTTTGCTGCTAATAAAAAGGTACTAAGCACCTTCTAGGCCTAGACCCTGAAGTTTTACAGTGATGAATAAAACACTCATGGATTCTTACCCTATGGAATTTTTAGTCTAATGGGACCATATTTTCTTCAATTAACAAATAAGCATTGAGCAGTGGGCCAGGCACTGTGTAAGCTGCATGAGGGCTCGAATTTTTAAAGACCTTTTTACTTAAGTAGTGTTAAAACCAAGACAACAGGCCCCAAATGGAGCCACTTATGCTAAGCCCCATGTCCAGAGACTTAACTCCTTAACTGAATAGAATTCTAACCCAGTGAGTCTGGAATTACCTGGTCAGCACTAGTGAGGTAATCTGCCTGATAGACCCTGCCGGCCCTAAAGGAGGGTGACCTTGCCACAAACAAGCCACTTTTTGCTACTCTAACTTTGTCAGGCTCCCTTCTGCATGTAAAAGTCTTCTACTTTGTATAGCTCCTCCGAGCTCCTTTCTATCTGCTAGATGGGATGCTGCCCGATTCATGAATCGTTGAATAAAGCCAATATGATTTAAAATTTACTCACTTGAATTTTATTTTTTAACAGTAGAGCAGAGATTTTTGTTTCTTTGCTTCACTTGTCTCTCCAGCATTTAGAACACAGTAGGTGCTCAATAAATATTTAATGAATGAGTGCATGATTGAATGACTGCAGATACAAAGGTTAGATTTCTCCAGTCCCACAGCTGGTTCATAATAGGCACTCAATAAACGAGTGACTGATTAGGTAGGCTACTTTACTGGAAGCTCTCGAAGACCTGTCAGCGTTTGGAGGCTGCGGGGGTGGGGGGGGGGGGGGGGGCTGGTAAGAGGAGAGGGCGTGTCTGATCCGGCTTTGGCTCCTGGAGCATGCGCAGTCTTCACAGAATGTGACGGGCGAATAATACCAAGTGCGCGATTGCGTAGGCGCTAGTTCCGATTGGCTGACGTTCCGCGCAAGGGGTCGTGCCTACTCGTCGCCAGGTAAACAGGGGGGTGGGGGCGGGGCCAAGGAGGCGCCGCGACCTGGTTGGCCAGGCGGGGGCTGGGGGCGTCGCGGATTGGTCCCGGCCTCGAGCTCAGCTGTGCGGATCGCGCTGGGTCCCGGAGCCGGCGGCCTCAGGGATGGACGAGACGAGTCCGCTTGTGTCCCCTGAGCGGGCCCAACCTCCGGACTACACCTTCCCGTCCGGTTCCGGCGCTCACTTTCCGCAGGTGCCGGGGGGCGCGGTCCGAGTGGCGGCGGCGGCCGGCCAGGGCCTCTCTCCGCCCGGCTCGCCAGGCCACGACCGGGAGCGGCAGCCACTGCTGGATCGGGCCCGGGGCGCGGCGGCCCAGGGCCAGACCCAAACCGTGGCGGCGCAGGCCCAAGCCCAGGCCGCGGCGGCAGCGCACGCCGCGCAGGCCCACCGCGAGCGGAACGAGTTCCCGGAGGACCCCGAGTTCGAGGCGGTGGTGCGGCAGGCCGAACGGGCCATCGAACGCTGCATCTTCCCCGAGCGCATCTACCAGGGCTCCAGCGGGAGCTACTTCGTCAAGGACCTTCAGGGGGTGAGAGCGGGGTGGGGACCGCGGCCGCCGGCTTCGGGGAGGGTGGGCCTATCCCGGGGAGTTTGGGGCTTCGCACAGCCAGAGGGAGAAGGGAGGTTGAAAGGCTGCAAAAGGGAGAAACTTCACAGTGCGGAGTCCTGGGTAGGATCTTGGAATGCCGCTGAGGACTGGAGATGGAGAAGCTCTGCGGAAAGAAGAAAAATAAATCAGAACCTATTTGGTGAGGGAGGAGCGAACGGAAAATGAAAAGAGGAAATTGACCAGATACAGGCGAGGGGCCCAGCGGTGCCGTGGGGCAGCCGGCTTCTGGACGGAGACTTGCGACGAGATGCTCCTTTCTAGTAGGTTTCTTAGCTTTCAACTACTGAGACTGCTATTCGGCCATTGACCTACAGATTTGAGCTTTGGGCCCATTCTCTCTTTTTGGACTCGACCAAGGTTGTCGCTGTTCATTGGGAGGACTGGTGACCCATCAGGGGCTCCGAGGGTTCAGTTGCGGCCTTCTGTGTTGTGGGATTGTCACCTGCCACGGTCCCAGGTCTCTTACCGGCAAACGTTGGTGATAGAGTGGGTGGACTCACCAGTTTCATCTGTCCTGGTTATTGCTCACTTCTGGGAAATGGTTCAAATCCTTTTTTATGGTTCCTCAGTTTAGAATATGGAGTTTTACAAACATGAAACTATCAGCTACCTTTTACTTTTCCTTTTTCTCCCAGGACTATCAGCAGTTTGCTTTTTAGCCAAGGCAGAGTGTTTCCTGACCTTTATTTTGTCCCCTGCATGTGTATAAAGGGGGATGGGATGGGATGGGGCTTAGAGTGATCAGGGCAGCTGAGATGTGACCTTTGCCCTTTTGGGAACTGCAGAAGAATTTAAGGCATTTAGATCAAAGCAAAGATATCATTGAAATATTAGTGGGTCAAAAAAATATCAAGTCTTTCCTGTCAGAGTTCTTAGATGGGCCAGAATAGTTTATTGGAAAAATGTACTATTGTTATGCTTATTAAAATGATGGGTGTCAAAACTCCCTCAAATTTCCCCTGCATCTCTCCTGTGTGAACTCTTCTACATGGGTAATGTGCTGTTCTGATAGTAGTGCTGAGTGGCCAGGATGGGCTGTGACGTGTAGCTCTTGGTTGGGGTCATTGATCTAGTTATTCTCCCAGATGTTGTCGTCCCTGAATTATCCAGAACCAGAGAGCAGTTCTGCCGTCAACTCAGTTAACATGAACTGAGTTGTGGAAAGCTTTGAGACTTTCCAAGTCCCTCAGGTAAGAGAAGAGTGAGTTAAATTGAAAGCTCAAAGGGGAACCATCACTTCTAGAAAAAAAGAAAGGTGGGTATGCTGAGGCCTAAATATTAGCAAGATGCTTTCATTTTTTTCATTTGGGAACCAGAGTGAGATCTAAGATATGAGTGGTTTTTATTTTAGCTTGTTGGCTGATTATCCTTGATAGGTACAAGAGCAAGAAGAAGGTTTTTGTTTTTCTTTCATGACGCTATTACAGCTCCTCTGCATGTGTGTCAGGTCAGCTGAGAAGTGATCTGGTGCTCTGACAGCTAGGAGTAATATGATCTCTCAGTTCTACCTGGCAGGTAGAGTACTGCCACCTCAGTACATCGGCCACAGAGAATGACAGACTCTGGGCATGTTTCTTGGTGATTTGCAAGATCCCAATCTCTAAAATTTCCTGGCTACTGTTTTCTCTTAGAGGGGAAGTCAAAACACATCTGCCCTGACAAAACTTATTAGTGTTAACCATCTTGCTGCTACCAAGGAGAATGTGATTTAGAGCAGAGGCCTGCTTCCTAAATGCTATGGTGGGTTATACTGGCCCACAGACTCACTATAGTTGGTCTTATCATCTTTGGCCCTGCTTCAAATGTGCTTATTTCATTTAACAAATACTTACAGAGCACTTACTGGATGCCGGGTACTGTTTGAAGTGCTTTAAAAGTAAATAACTCAATCCTCACAGCACCTTCAGAGGTAGGTGCTTTGTTGCCCCCACAGATGACAACACTGAGGCACACAGTGTAACTGATTTGCCCAGGGTCTCACGGCTAGTAAGTGGGAGGCAGGATTCAGACCCAGGCAGACTGGTTCCAGAGTTCCTGCTTCTAACCACTTAGCTTTGCTGCCACAGAGTTAGTTATCTGAATTTCTGCTTTCTCTTTTCAGTTACTATACTGGTTAGGATGAGATGTGGCTATGTGTGACAGGAAATGTAAAATAATGACTTGAATAGAAGTACATTTATCTCTCATAAAAGAAGTCTATAGGGGCTGGCCCGGTGGCGCAGTGGATAAGTGCTCATGTTCCGCTTCTCGGCAGCCCGGGGTTCGCTGGTTTGGATCCCGGGTGCGGACTTGGCACCCGCTTGGCACACCGTGCTGTGGTAGGCGTCCCACATATAAAGTAGAGGAAGATGGGCATGGATGTTAGCTCAGGGCCAGGCTTCCTCAGCAAAAAGAGGACTGGCAGTAGTTAACTCAGGGTTAATCTTCCTCAAAAAAAAAAAAAAGAAGTCTATAGGCTGCTCAGGGCTAGGATGGCATTTTACTTTATCTGGGATGTGAGCTCCTTCTGTCCAGCTAATCAGCCATCCTTAACATGTGGCTTCTATTTCATGATTCAAGATGGCTACTCAAGCTGCAGACATCTTGTCTGCTTTTCAGCCAATTGGAAGAAGGAACAGGAGAGGGAGAGTATCACCTACCTCCCACCTCCCCCCAGCCCCAGCCCTAAGACATTTCCTAGGAGTTGCCCCAGACTCTTCTCCTTAAATCCCATTGTCCAGAACTTAGCTGCAATAGAGGTTGGGAACTTGGGAACTGTAGTCTTTTTTTTTTTTTTGAGGAAGATTAGCCCTGAGCTAACTGCTGCCAATCCTCCTCTTTTTGCTGAGGAAAACTAGCCCTGAGCTAACATCCATGCCCATCTTCCTCTACTTTATATGTGGGACGCCTACCACAGCATGGTGTGCCAAGCGGTGCCATGTTCGCACCCGGGATCCGAGCCAGTGAACCCCGGGCCGCCAAAGCCGATCATGCACACTTAACCGCTGTGCCACCCGACTGGCCCCTATAGTCTTTATTTTGCCTGCTAAAAATCAGGGGTCCTGTGTCCAAAGGAGAAGGGAGAACAGAGGTTGGGGCAACCAGCAGTTTCTGCGACAGCTACTTTTGGAGCTGGACAGTCTGAAAGCTTCTTGAAGATAACAGCCCTGATTCCATTTCCCAATTTAGGATGGTTTCTCCCTCAGGGCAAGAAAGGGGGAGCTGGAACAGTAAGACGGAAAATGCTAGATCGGAATTCAGGGTAGAGAATGCTCATGTTGCCCTCCTCGCGTACATCCTTGTACTTCAGGTCTCCAATCACCTACAAAAGTATTTTTTGAGCATTTTCTTTTTTGTGAGGCAGGTCATAGTAGATGTTCATATTGCCGAGAATCATAGAATAAGCATGTGACTCCTTAGTTTATTAAGAGGATTAAATGGGATATCACACATGAAAGCCCCTGGCATAGTTCCTGCTTAGTGGGAGCTCAATCAGAATATTTTGTTTTCAGTTAAATGCCCACTGACCTCTGGATTAGGCTTTCTTGGATATGTGGCCTTGAATATGGCAAAAGTGGTATGATTTTGAGAAGGTGCTTTCATGACCATTGAGGATAGTAATTCATTAGATAATGCTAATTGGTATTTGCTTCAAAATTTTACAGATCCTGCTCTCACACGTTCTAGGAACTTGGCCTTATATCAGTAATTTTCAACCTTTTAAAAAATACTTTATCCACCAAGAGTTTGTCATGAAAACAGTATGGTATTTTTTTCCCCTATAACGGACAAAATTATGTTATAATATTGGATACCTTTTCTCCAACTACCTGTGCCCTCCAAAGAATTCTGATGTCCTTACACTTGGTTGAGAACCACACTGATAGCCAAATGAGGAATAAAGATCTCAAACAATAAAATTTTTTTCCTGAAATGTTGAGGTGGTGAAGTTTGTATATCATATATAGATACAGTTCTTTAGATTTTAAACATCATCTACCATCTGTTGTAGGGAGCTGTCCCGGCCACACCCTGTAATGGATGAGGCAGGTTAGGTTGATGGCAATGGATAGGAAAATAAATACAGGCTGAATCTCTTTCACTACATTCTAGGTGGATCCCATCTTCTTTCAGGGTCTCATGTATTTGGAGTAGCCCATCCTTCTCTTTTGTGAGAGTTAACATGTAAATAAGGCTTCTGTACCTAAATAGCTAAGTCAAGGACTGCTGTTTCCCTCCCACCTCTAGTACAAAAGACAGTTCTCAGAGTGTGGCCCAGGGACCTTTAGGAGTCCCTTTTTGGGGTCCACAGGTCAAAATTATTTTCATAATTTTAAGGTTTTCTTTTCCTTGTGAGTGTACAGTGGAGATTTCCAGAGGCTGCATGATATGATATTGAAACAGATTGAATATTAAGAAAGATGTGAGAATGCAGATGTCTTCTCTTAAGCCAAATACTAGAGAAATTTGCAAAAAAGTAGAACAATGCCAGTCTTCTCACTAAAAATTGTTTTTGAAAATATAGTTATTTTTCATTAAAGCATGTCACTTATGTTAACATGTAATGGGTTTATTTTTATTATTAAGGGGATCCTTAGTAAATTTTAAGAGTTTAAAGGGATCTTGAGACCAAAAAGTTTGAGAACTGTCCACTTCATTTTTGCCGAACTTTGAAAAAAACCCGTTTTACTAAAAGTTATTTTTGTGTATTTCCCTTTGCAATATGAGTGATGTGCTTAAACTATCTTAGATTTTCGGTTCCTGAAGGAGAAAGCCTCTTTAGCATGCCATAATACCCTTCTCCTTGTGACTGCTGGATAGATATAGGAAACCCTTTGGGTTCCAGATCCCAGTAATTTGTTGAGTCCTGACACCAGCCAGTGAGTGGCCTCTTGCTTCCTTGTACAGTTCTGTTTTTACCCTCAACTTCAAGGACTGCTGCTCCTTCAGCTGCCTGTACTTCACTGCCTTCATTAAAAGGGGATTAGTAAGTGGGTATTAAGGAAAGATATTTTAAAGATATCGGCATCAAACTAAAGCTTTCTCCTAAATGTAATAAAGGACTTGAAAGTGTGTTAAAGGTGAGGATGGTGAGAAAAATTAGGCAGTAGTCATCTTCTTTCTCAACCAAATACTGGTGGGTGTCTTTCTAATTTGAGTGGTTTTAGAATTTGTTTTCTGTGAATAAAGAGTATTCCTGAGTATTCAGTAAACACAGTTGATTATGTGAAATGAATATTAGCTTTGGAAATTAGGCCAGAGGCTGTTTTATGTATCTGTCTAGGAAACCTGCAGAGTGCTCACACAGTCCTGCACAAACTAGGTACTGAGCAAAAGTTCACAGAATTGAATTGAACTGAGGCCTACACTTAGTCCCGAAAGGCACTTGTCTCCTCTTCTGTCTGAATGCCATCCTGTTCTTGCATCCTTCCCACTCTAACATTGCCCCATCTGTCCAGTCCAGGCATCATTATTTAATGAAACCCTTCTAATACTGAGATAACCATGATTACTAATGCGTTTAGAGTTGGTAAAATGCTCTCTGATTCTCCTTATGGTGGAAGGAAGTTGAGATATTTGAGAGGTCAGTCTATAAATGATGTTTGCCTGCAGTTTGGGCCTTCAGGTTCTGCTTTCTTTAAGTGGAAGTATTCAAGCCTCAGCCCTAGTATTTTTCAGCCCTGCTAGTAGTAGGAATGTCTTGGTCTCCCTTTCCTTAGGGATAATTTTGCTGAATTCCACATTGTGCCTCAGTTGAACTGACTGTTGGGTTCTGGGACTTGCCTCAAGTTGTCCTGTGGTTTCACCGCCCAGGTTCCAGAGGATTACAGTGGACTCATCAGTCATTCTCTGCGTTTCAAGCCCTTTGCTACTGCTGCTGTGTGGTTCAGAGCCCAGGGTTCCAGAGGTACAGAGATAGAGAGGAAGATTGCTAACTTAGGCATCTTGCTAGCCACTTTGGGTAAGAGTGTAATTCTAAAGACTTATGAGTATATGCATTTGACTTTTCCAGTGAATAAGTAAGTTTATTTGTCTTTAAGAATAAATCGATTCTTTTGGAGGGAGGAGGGAAGTTTTGTATTTCTCTTGTTCTCTCAAATCCTTGCAAGGCTTCTTGAAGGAACTGGTTTCAAGATTGACCAATTATTGTTGGAGGCATGCGTCCAGCCAATTCCTAATATAAGTACTTATTTAATGCAGGCGGATGGCTGTATGTGTTCTGCTGTGATCTGCCATTCAGGAAGTGACACCCACAGGAAAATGTCTTATGACCCAGACTAGCTTAGTTGGCCGTGGGGGGAGGGGAGAGGGAGAGTCATATGATACGAAGATGAATCATTTGGATAGCATATTTAATTTTCTTCCTTTGAAATCACCAGTTGGGGGATTGGAGGGAGTGAGCTAAATGTGAAGCAACCTCAGAGGGCTGACTGGCCTGGGGAAGAAACTTCAGGAGGGAGGGCTACATTTTCTAAGTTACAGCGGCATCCCATATTTTCAAGGACTTTTGAGGGTTAAGTTACTGTCTGGTAGAGAAGATGGATTAATATTTGTGGCGTCTCCTCCTGATCTCTTGCCTAACAGAATTACTTAAAAGAACCCTATTCTAACCAGGTAGCAGATTCTTTTTCCTGCTGTGATTTTTCTCTTCCATTGCTTTCTTAGTTTGTCATTCCTAAACTTTTTTTTTTTTTAAAGATTGGCACCTGAGTTAACAACTGTTGCCAATTTTCTTTTTTTTTCCCTGCTTTTTCTCCCTAAATCCCCTCAGTACATAGTTGTATATCTTAGTTGTGGGTCCTTCTAATTGTGGCATGTGGGACACCGCTTCAACATGACCTAACGAGTGATGCCATGTCTGTGCCCAGAATCCAAACCGGCGAAACCCTGGGCCTCCAAAGTGGAGCGTGCTAACTTAACCACTCAGCCACAGGGCTGGCCCTCATTCCTAAACTTTTTATTTTAAGGTTTTGTTAACACCCAGGGGTTGGGATAGTAAGGCTGATAGAGGGAATCAACCATCAATGAAGGAATTTTCTTAATCTCATTCCATAATACAGTAGTCCCTCTTATCCACCATGGTTACGTTCCAAGGCCCTCCTTGGATGCCTGAAACCATGAGTAGTATCAAACTATATACTATGTTTTTTCCTATACGTACATAACTATGATAAAGTGTAATTTATAAATTAGGCACAATAAGAGATTAAAAACAACTAATAATAAAATAGATCTTAGCAACCTTAGCATACAATATTTTTTCTTTCCTTATTAAGTCGAGATTTGTTTTCAACTTTATTTCGCTTAAAGGAAGCTCTTTAAGACTTTTCTTTGGCATATCTAAATTGTCACCATCACTCTTGTGTCTGGGGTCCTTAGTAAGTAAAATAAGGGTGACTTGAACACAAGCACTTTGATACTGCAACAGTCGATCTTATAACCTAGTGGGCTACTAAGTGATTAATAAAGGGGCAGATAGCAAATACAGCGTGGGTATGCCGGACAAAGGGATGATTCATCTCCTGGTGGGACGGAGTGGGACTCTGTGAGATTTCATCATGCTTCTCAGACTGACGAGCAATTTGAAACTTATGAATTGTTTATTTCTGGAATTTTCCATTTAATATTTTTGGAACACGGATGACCATGGGTAACTGAAACTGCAGAAAGTAAAACCATGGATAAGGGGGGACTTCTGTACCTTACTAGTTGCCTTTCAGTTGATAATTTTTTTAATCTTTATGTAATTGGTGCAGAGCAAAAGTGTATAAATGTATAAATGTACCTTGGAGGTTGGAGTTTGATGGCGTTAAAAATCTGTTATACCATATATACCAGACCTGGCACTTCCTTGGCTACAGCCCTTTCTAGCAATGGATCTCTTAGCTGCACACATGAGCTGGTGTTTTCCACTTACAAGCTGGAGAAAAGCCAGTGTCTGACTGTAAGTAGGGATTGTCTTCCTGTGCCCTCTTGTTTCTTTCTAGATTCCTGCTGACCTGGTCTGTGAGCTACTTTAATCAACTTGTCTTTAACATCTTCTTTTTCTTTTGTCTGTGTAGAAGATTATTGCTGTCTTCAAACCCAAGAATGAAGAGCCATATGGGCACCTTAATCCTAAGTGGACCAAGTGGCTACAGAAGCTGTGCTGTCCCTGTTGCTTTGGCCGTGATTGCCTTGTCCTCAACCAGGGCTATCTCTCAGAGGCAGGGGCCAGCCTGGTGGACCAAAAACTGGAACTCAACATTGTACCCCGTACAAAGGTCAGTGACCTGTCTCCAGGGAGCCCTACTGCCTGGCCAGAGTTTTCCTGGCCATAAGCCCTGCTATATCTTAGTGGGACCGTTAGCTCGGGTGAAGGCTATTTATGCCCTGAGCCTAGGGTTCTCAGGCTATTTTTTGGGAGGACGGTATGTTTAGGCTAATGATTTGATCATCTGATGAAATCTATCCTGAGAAAGATACACATAAAAGTTTTGCATCTAATTTCAGGAAGTTCACCAACCCTCTGATCTACATTTATGGGCTCCCTGGGTCTTTGGATCCCAGATAACCCCAAGCTGATTAGAAAGCTAGTTATTTTTGTGGCTTACTCTCTTAGATTTCTGAGCCATTCCAGGATTTAGATCTAGTCTAGAATGGACTAGCTGATGTCAGCTGAGCACTAATGCAAGATCTGGCAAGGAGAACTCTGGGATGGGCTGAGGGTTAGGGTAAAGGTCTGACCTGAACCCCTACAGGGAATTGACATGGAATTCTCCTTGCCCATCTTTATGCTATGTAATTCTGGTACTTGTCTTGAACATAACAAAATTGGGGTCCCAGATCCAGGCAAATCCTTGCTTAGAATGGACTTTCACATACCTTATATGTTTTATGACTTTGTTGAGGTTCTAATGAGGGGTGTGGATCATACCCCCCACAAAAAATATGCTTAAATACAGAATTGATTGCATACAATTTCGGGAAGTTTACTGACACCAGGTTAAGAATCCTTCTATTGCAGAATGTTGTGTGAAAATTTCCATGGGTTATGTGGGGGAGGAATCTGCGGGTCAGCATATGAACATTTAAGACATGTCATCACCCATTGAGTATATGGCTGCCTGAGGTTTAGTAACAACTTAAAGTGGGACTCTGATCTGATGCCTTAGGCTGCAGGGGCGTCTTTGTAGTTCTGGATCTTAATCCTCTTTGAGAATCAGATGAAAGCTATAGATCTTGTTCCCAGAAAAAAACCACATATTTGTAATTACTATTTTGCATATAATTTCAGGGGTATGATTCATTGAAGTCCATCCATTGACCCTGTAGGGACCATACCTCTAGATTAAAAACCCCCACTTGAGGTTTTTTTCACAGGTTTAGATAGCAGACTCTGGGCAAAGAGATTGATGAGCAGACAAGAGCCTCCCTTCAAACCTATTTTTTTCTATTTTCCCAGGGTATTTTTACAAGAAAATGTGATTATTGTGGATGTTTAACTGTGTCTGCTTCTTTGCCAACAAACTCCAAACAATAAGCCAACTACTTTGTAAGTTTGTAGATGTCAGGGGCCGTTTCTTAAAATTTCCTTCTCCCATTCTCAGCACCTAGCAACGTACTATAGTTATAGTAAGCATTCAGTAAGTAGCAGCGGAATCAGTGAATGAATATCAAACCATGACAAACAATACCCAAGATCCCCCAACTTCAGGTCTTTGGAGAGAATGTTTGATTGTAGTTCCAGGCTGGTAGCTCCCATTTGACGGGCAGTTCACTGCCTGGCCTTGTGCAGCTCTTTTCTTCCCTTCATGCTTTAGTTCTCTCTCTGTCCATATAGTTAAACAGCACACTTTGAACATCTTGTATGATAATTAATGCTCTTAAGATGTCCTGCCTAACCTGAAATCCTCCTTCTAGGCCCTTCCTGGACTCTAGAAACTCTTTTAAATACTCCTTGCTCATCACTCTGTAATTTCTTTTATTTCCTAGATAAATAACAGACCCACGTGGCCCTGTGCCTGCCTGCTCTGCCTGTGCTTCTGGAGTGTAGTGCCTAAGAATTAGAAGGCTGGAGTCCAAATTCTGGCTCTGTAACTGTTCATTAGGTGACCCTTGAGCAAGTCACTTAAGACCCCTCCCCCCACCCACTCAATTTCCTCACTATAAAAATAGGGATATAAATAGTTCCTAGTTTATAAAGTGGTTATTAAGATTGTACATGATAATCCATATAAAACATGTAGCCCAGTGCCTAGCACAATGTAAACACTCCATGCGTCTTTGCGTGCGGTATTTTTATAACTATTCTAATCAAATGTCACGCCCCACAATCCCTTTCTTCCCCAACTCTGGTCTTCCTCTTTCCCTGTTAGAGAACCTTAATGAGGCCTGAGGATCTTTTGTATCAGAAAGTCAGCAACAACACAGGCCGGTCTGATGGCGTAGAGGTTTCATGTGCTCTGCTTCGGTGGCCCAGGGTTCGCCGGTTCGGATCCCAGGCGCAGACCTACATGCTGCTTATCAAACCATGCTGTGGCAGGCGTCCCATATATGAAGTAGAGGGCGATGGGCACGAATGCTAGCTCAGGGCCAATCTTCCTCAGCAAAAGAAGGATTGGTGGCAGATATTAGCTCAGGGCTAATCTTCCTCAAAAAAAAAAGTCACCAACAACAAAAACACTTGTCTTCCGTGAGACTGAGATGAGATAGAACTTTGCAAGCTTTAATATACAGCTGCTAGAGAATAGTAAGAGGCAGTCTCTCCCCTCCCTGCCTTGCTACCCTTGTGACAGGATTCTATCCAGTTGATCAGAGCATCTCTAACTATGGAAGGAAGGCTCACGTTGCAGTGGAGCTTCACATAGTAAGACTCTAATCCTCACTTGATAGCAGTCTCTGCTTTCTGTTCCTGTGAGGTTTCAGGTTATGATAGTTTCACTAGTCATAGGGAAAAAGTGATTTGTTATAAAAAGTGATCGAAAATAAAATCTGATGGGGGAAAGGGTGGTTTATGGCTTGAGAGCACCAGGATTTCACTGTGGAAACTGGCAAGGTAGTCTTAGGAAAGCCTGTTTTTCCCTTTATTCCTGTTCCTGTGTTTCCTGACTTGTAAGACAGAGAGTGCCAACCTACAGTACCTTACACGTGCATTGTAGGTACTCTGTTAACACTGGATGGACAGATGGATGGATGGATGGCAGGGAAGGGATTATTTTGCCTCTCTTTGTCTTTAAGATTCATGGGCAAAATAACTACTTGTTTCTAATGAATTCTGAAAGGCTTAGGAAAAGAAAGAATCTTATAAATTTGATTTTAGGTGTTTACATGCTAAAACTCACTTGTTGCTATCTCTGAAAGAAGCTTGTAACTCATTCATTCATTCACTTAATAAATATTTAATGAGCCTATGTGCCAGGCACTGTGTTAGGTACTGGGGATGCAAATGTGAATAAGATGTTCTCTTCCTCTCAAAATTTCATTAGTCTTAAGAGAGAAGTTAGCTATATGAATGGATAATCACAAGACGATGTGATAAGTGTAATAATGGACGTACATATGGATTACAGTGATATCACTGCATTTTGACAATAAAATATAATATTGATAGTCCATTAAAACATCTTTTTTCAAATAGGCAATTCATGCATCTAGAAGGCACAATAAACAGAGAAGAGTAATTCATCCTTCCTTCCACCCCGTCTCGCAGCCACTCCTTTTCCTCCCTCAGAGGCAGCTGCTATTACTAATTTTTTGTGTAATATTCCAGATATAGTATGTATAAATATGCATATATATAGCATTTCACTAAAAATTAAAATGAATTTTAGTGTTTATTTTTTGAATGTGATTAATTGCACATGGTACAAAATTCAAAGGGAAATAAAAGGGTATAGAGTAAATTGCAATTTGTTTTTATTTGGAGAGAAAATAGGCATTGAGATGACATCTCCTAACCCAGGAGGTGCCTGTGTTAGTCAGAATAATTCATGCTAACTCCTGTAACAACCCCTGAGTTGTGGTGGTTTAACACAGAGTTTATTTCTTGCTCACATCATAGATCCATGCCAGTTAGGCAGCTCTCCTAGATCCCTTGTCACTACATCCTTCCATGATGTGGTTTGGCCATCTCAGAGCCTTCATTTCCAGCTGCACAGATTGGGGAATGTGAACTAAGGATCATGGGAGGTTTTGGGGACCAGGCCTGGAAGGGGTATACATTCATCACTTTGTCAATATTCCATTGGCCCGAACTAGTCATATACTCTATCCTAGCAGTTAGAAAGGCTGAGAAATGCATTCTTCCTGTGTGCCCTGGAAGAGGAACTGTATTGGTGAGCATCTAGCTATCCTCTGCCATAGTGGTATAGTTCCTTAAACTTGGCTCTAACCAAGGTATCTCTTCTCTTTCCACTGTAGGTAGTATACCTGGCCAGTGAGACCTTCAACTATAGTGCCATTGACCGAGTGAAGTCCAGGGGCAAGCGGCTTGCACTGGAGAAGGTGCCAAAAGTTGGGGCGCGGTTTAACCGCATCGGGCTACCGCCAAAGGTATAGACTGCATCTATGTGGTTTATTAAAAGTGATGATTTATAGTGGCATAGCCGTCAAGAGGTGAAGCAAGGTGCCCACACACTTGTATATGGACACATGAATAGCCTGCCCTGAGGCTCCTGTCTTCCTCATTTCTGTCAAGGACCTAAGGTTTGAGGAATAATTCTCCAGAGAACAGAGACCCTAACTTTCTCACTGGTCTCCCCTGAACCATTTAGATGGACTTCTTGAATTTGGATGGGCAATCACCGTTACAACCCTTTTCTGATATAAACTCCACACGGCCTTAGTGGGTACCTGGCTTACTCCTGGGGTCTTTGGACTTGGACTGTAAGGAAATACCTTTATTCCTCCTCTTTGATTGCAGGTTGGTTCATTCCAGCTCTTTGTTGAAGGCTACAAAGATGCAGATTACTGGCTACGGCGCTTTGAAGCAGAACCTCTCCCTGAGAACACTAACCGGCAACTACTGCTGCAGTTTGAGCGGTTGGTGGTCCTGGATTACATCATCCGCAACACTGGTGCGCAGCTGTGTGTGGTCCAGTCCCTGTGCCAGGCTGTGGGCAGGCCCAGGGGGAGGCCTGGAAGCGTGCAGAGCTTGGTATCAGAGGACCCTATCAGGATGGGTTTTTTTCTAAGTCAGAACGGTTATGCACATTTGGGGAGGGTCTCGATAATACTTTTCCAAGAGATGCTTTGTCCAGCCACATCATGTGTAGTTATCAGAGGTGCTATGGCCTGGACCCAGTATTTACATTTTATCTTGGCCTCTTTCTTGGTCCCAGAAGACACTTTGGCTCTTCCAAAGCAACGTGTAGAGTACTCATATCCTTGATCCCTAGTCATTCATAGCAGCAAGGCCTATCACAGGACAGTTTTGTCTTTAAATACTTCATATAAGTAGACTCATACAGTATTTGTCATTTTGTGATTGGTTTATTTCACTTAGTGTAATGTCCTCAAGATTCATTCATGTTGTAGCACGTGTCAGAATTTCTTTCCTTTTTAAGGTTAACAGTCCATTGTACGCAAATACCACATTTTGCTTATCCATTCATCTGTCAATGGACACTTGGGTTGCTTCCATGTTTTAGTTATTGTGAATAAGGCTGCTAGGAACATGGGTTTACAAATATCTTCGAGACACTGCTTTCAATTCTTTTGAGTATACACCCAGAAGTAGAATTGCTGGATCATATGGTAATTCTATGTTTAATTTTTTGAGGAACTGCCATACTGTTTTCCACAGCAGCTGTACCATTTTATATTCCCAGTAACAGCGAACAAGGGTTCCAATTTCTCCACATCCTTGCCACCACTTGTTATTTTCTGGTTTTTTGATAGTAGCCATCCTAATAGGTGGGAGGTGGTATCTCATTGTAGTTTCAATTTGCACTTCCCTAATGATTAGTGATGTTGAACATCTTTTCGTGTGCTTTTTTGACCATTTGTATGTCTTCTTTGGAGAAATGTCCGTTCAATCCTTTGCTCATCTTGAATTGGGTTGTTTTATTGTTGTTGAGTTGTAGGAGTTCTTTATATATTCTGGATATTAATCTCTTATCAGACATATGATTTGCAAATATTTCCTCCCATTCTGTGGGTTACCTTTTATTCTGTTGATAGTATCTTTTGATGCAATTAATTTTTGAATTTTCATAAAGTCCAATTTGTCTATTTTTGTTGTTGTTGTCTTTGCCTTTGGTGTCATGTCTAAGAAAACATTGCCAAATCCGATGTCATGAAGCTTTTGCCCTATGTTTTCTTCTAAGAATCTTATAGTTTGAGGTGTTAGATTTACGTCATGGATCCATTTTGAGTTAATTTTTGTACATGGTGTTAGGTAAGGGTCCAGCTTCATTCTTTTGTATGTGGATATCCAGTTTTCCTGGCAACATTTGTCGAAAAGACTATTTTCCCCATTGAATGGTTTTCCCACCCTTTGTCAAAAATCATTTGATCATATATGTGAAAATTTAATTCTAGACTCTCTATTCTAGTCCATTGGTCTGTATGTCTGTCTTTATGCAGTGCCACACTGTTTGGATTACTGTAGCTTTGTAGTAAGTTTTGTAGTAACTATAGTTTTGTAGTAAGTTTGAAGGTTTTGGAGTAAGTATGAGTCCTTCAGCTTTGTTCTTTTTTTTTCCCCTAATTGTTTTGGCTATTTGGAGTCCCTTGAGCTTCCATATGAATTTTGGCATGGGTTTTTCTGTTTCTGCAAAAAACATCATTGGGATTTTGATACGAATTGCATTAAATTTCTAGATTGCTTTGAGTAGTATTGACATCTTAACAATATTAAATCTTTCTGTCTATGAACATGGGATATCTTTCCATTTATTTTTGTCTTCTTTAATTTCTTTCAGCAATGGTTTATAGTTTTCATTGTACGAGTCTTTCACCTCCTTGGTTAAATTAATTTCTAAGTATTTTATTCTTTTTTTCTTTTTTTAAAGATTGGCACCTGAGCTAACAGCTGTTAACCAATCTTCTTTTTTTTCCCCCTGCTTTTTCTCCCCAAATCCCCCCAGTACATACTTGTATATTTTAAAGATTTTATTTTTTTTCCTTTTTCTCCCCAAAGCCCCCCGGTACATAGTTGTGTATTCTTCGTTGTGGGTTCTTCTAGTTGTGGCATGTGGGACACTGCCTCAGCGTGGTCTGATGAGCAGTGCCATGTCCGCGCCCAGGATTCGAACCAACGAAACACTGGGCCGCCTGCAGCAGAGCGCGCAAACTTAACCACTCGGCCACGGGGCCAGCCCCCATACTTGTATATTTTAGTCGTGGGTCCTTCTAGCTGTGACCTGTGGGGCGCCGCCTCAGCATGGCCTGATGATCAGTGCCATGTCCGCGGTCAGGATCCGAACCAGTGAAACCCTGGGCCGCTGAAGCAGAGCACATGAACTTCACCACTCACCCGCGGGGCTGGCCCCTATTTTATTCTTTTTGATGCTATTGTAAATGGAATTGTTTTCTTAATTTCCTTTTTGGAAATTTCCTTTCATCGTTAGTGAATAGAAATGCAACTGATTTTTGTGTTGACTTTGCTTCCTGATACTCTGCTGAGTTTATTTATTAGTTCTGACAGTTTTTTGTGGAATCTTCAGGGTTTTTTATGTGTAAGATAATCTCATCTGCAAACAGAGATAATTTTACCTCTTCCTTTCCAATTTGGATGCCTTTTATTTCTTTTTGTTGCCTAATTGCTCTGGTCTTCCAGTACTGTGTTGATTGTGAGTGGTGAAAGCAGGCATCCTTGCCTTGTTCCTGTTCTTAGAGAAAAAGCTTTTGGTCTTTAACCATTGAATATGATGTTTGCTGTGGTTTTTTCATATAGAACTTTTATTATGTTGAGGTAGTTTCCTTCCATTCCTAATTTGTTGAGTGTTTTTTATCATGAAAGGATATTGAATTTTGTCAAATGCTTTTCTTCATCAATTGAGATGATCATGTGGTTTTTCCCCTTCATTCTGTTAATGTGATGTGTTACATTGATTGATTTTCGTATGTTGAACAATTCTTGCATTCCAGCAATAAATTCCATTGGTCATAGTGTATAATCCTTTTAAAATGCTGCTAAATTCAGTTTGCTATTATTTTGTTGAGGATTTTTTTATCAATATTTATAAGGGATATTGGTCTGTGGTTTTCTTTTCTTGTAGTGTCTTTGTCTGTTTTTGGTATCAGGGTTATACTGGCCTCATAGAATGAGTTATAGAGTGTTCCCTCCTCTTCAGTTTTTTGGAAAAATTTGAGGAGGATTGGTATTAGTTTTTCTTTAAATGTTTGGGAGAATTCACCTGAAGCGATCAGATCTAGGGCTAGTGTTTGTCAAGAGATTTTCGATTGCTGGTTCAGTCTCCTTACTAGTTATAGATCTATTCAAATTTTCTATTTCTTCGTGGTTTAGTCTTGGGAGGTTTTGTGTTTCTAGGAATTTGTCCATTTCATCTAGGTTCTCCAGTTTGTTGGTGTACAATTGCTTATAGTACTCTCTTATAATCCTTTTTATTTCTGTAGAATCAGTAGTAATGTCACCACTTTCATTTCTGATTTTAGTGATTTGAGTCTTCTCTTTTTTTCTTAGTCTGTCTAGCTAAAAGTTTGTCAATTTTATTTATCCAGTGAAAGAACTATTATATTTAATTTAATTAATTAATTTTTTTGGTGAGGAAGATTGTCCCTGAGCTAACATCTGTGCCAATTTTCCTCTATTTTATATGGGATGCCACCACAGTATGGCTTGACAAATGGTGCTAGGTCTGCACTTGGGATCCAAACCTGCGAACCCTGGGCCACTGAATTGGAGCACATGAACTTAACCACTATGCCACCAGGCTGGCCCCAGAACTGTTATATTTTAATTTTAGAGCATTTAGTTAATTTATCTGTAGTGTATGTGCAGATATATTTGGATATTCATCTACCATCTTATTATTTGCTTTCTATGTTTTCTGCCTGTCTTTTTTTTTTTCCTCCCCTTCTCTCACTGATCCTTTTTTCCTCTCTTTTCTTGCTTTATTATAAATTATTTTATAATTATTTCATTTCCCCCCTCTTTTAGCTTAGAAGTTGTGCACTCTTTGTCTTTTCTTTTGGTGGTTACTTTCAAGATTACCATGTGAATCACTGATTTCCCAAAATCTAATATAAAATTGGTACCATTTTCTTGGATAATGCAGAGATCTTAGAAACCCTTAGCTCTATCTACTCATCTCCAGACTTTTATACTATTAATATCATGCTTTTTAATTATATATCTGCATATATAAAAACGTTTATGTAAAACTATAAGTCAATACTATTATTGTTATTAATAGTAATTATGAAGACTTTTAAACATACACAAATAAGCAGAATAATGAACCTGCATGAATCAGTCATCCCAGTCTCAACAGTCACTCCATGACTAATCCTCTCCCATTCCCACTTCCATTTGCTTACCTTCTTTTATTCTTTTAAAGCAAATCCCAGATATAATTTTATTTATGATTTTTTCAGTATGTCTTTAAAAGATAACTCTTTTTTTTAATATACCACTATCACACCAAACAAAACTAACAATATTTATCTAGATTTATTAACATACTTACCCACTTTGTTGTTCTTTATTTCCTCCTGCATCTCCAAGCTTCTATTTGGTATAATTTTCCTTGGAGAATATTTTAGTACTAGTCTTCTGGTGATTAATTTTTTTGTTTTTTGTTTATCTGAAAATGTCTTTGTTTCACCTTCGTTTTTGAAGGATATTTTCTTTCAGCAATTTAAAAAAAAAGGCATTCCATTGTTCTCTTGCCTCCATGGTTTCTAAGTGAGTTGTCCATACCTCTTTGAAGGTAATCTTTCTTTTTCTCTAGCTCCTTTTAAGATTTTCTCTGTACTTGATTTTCAACATTTTTACCATGATATACCTTATGTATGGTTTTCTTTGTATTTATCTTATTATGGATTCACAGGGTTTTTTGAATCTATAGTTTGATATGTTTGTCACTTTTGGAAAATTCTCAACTCTTATCTCTTTAAATATTACTTATGCCCATTTTTCTCTCCTCCTTCCAATTACATGTTGTTAGATATACATTAATGTATGTGTCCCTTTTTCCTGCATGTTTTATTCTGGCTATTTTCTTGTGACCTGTCTTTCAAATCACTACTTCTCTCTTTAGCACAATCTGCTGTTAAAGTCACCTATTGAATTCTTAATTTTGGTAAAGGTGTTTTTCAGTTCTTGAATTTCTGTTTGATTTTTTTAATAGATTTTTGTTTTCTGCTGATATTCTTTTTTTTTTTTTTAAGATTGGCACCTGAGCTAACATCTGTTGCCAATCTTATTATTATTATTTTTTTCTTCTTCTCCCCGAAGCCCCCCAGTATATAGTTGTATATTGTAGTTGTAGTCCTTCTGGTTGTGCTATGTGGGACGCCGCCTCAGCATGGCCTGATGTACGGTGCCGTGTCTGTGCCCAGGATCTGAACCAGGGAAACCCTGGCTTGCTGAAGTGGAGCATGCAAACTTAACCTCTTGGCCACAGGGCTGGCCCCTCTGCTGATATTCTTAATTTTGCCTTTTGTCTTCTTAAATATATTAAGGATTTTATCTTGAACATTTTAGAGTCTGTATCTTCATTGTTTGGAGCCACTATAGGTTTATTTTAGTTTTCTGTAGTTTTCTTTGTTTATATTCATGTCATTTTGTCTGTTTGTATACCTAGTTATTTTTGATTGTCAGATATTGTATATCAGAAATCATAGAAATATTTGGAGGCCTAGGATGCTGATGTAAGTCCTGTCTGGAAGAAGATGTTTGCTCTCGGCAAGCAGCTAGGAGCACCAGTAATCCAGGATCACTTTTATTTCAGGTATTGAGAGGAAACTCTGCTTATTTCCAAGGTGTAGCCCTTCAGGTTTCAACCCAAAGCATGGATAATTTACCAGGGCCTCCTCCCTCTTATCAGTCACTGTACTACAATTTGTCTTCCCAGTTCCACAAGGCTATTAGAACACTTTTCCACCTCTCAGCCTCTTAGCTACCTCTTCCCAAATCAGCAGGTGCTCTAGGAGAAAAGAAGCCACAAATACTGGACTCCTCTCTCTGGATTTCCTTTCTCTCCCAGATCTTGACACTTTAACTCTTAATAGTCTTGTTAAAATCTCCGAAGCCTCCAAGAGATTTAACAATATTTTATCCATTTTTTGTATTCATTCTCAGTAGAATGATTGGTCCAAGTGTCCAAATACCTAGTCCATCATTAATGAAGGTGAAAGTCACCCCAGTTTTTTCTACTAACTTTGTATTTCTGTTCACAGATCGAGGCAATGACAACTGGCTGATTAAATATGACTGTCCAATGGATAGTTCTAGCTCTCGGGTAAGATGTTGATCTATACCTTGAAGAAGAGGATGAAGTGGAGTATATGCATAATATGGAAGCACATAATAGTCAGAGATTTGGGTCACATAAGTTCAGAGAATCAGGCTAGCATATCTGGTTAAAATTGATAGGTTAATATTTGGTAGAGTTTTTCTCAGTCTGTTTTTTAAGGAATATCCTACTGAATGATGTTAATAGGGATAGCATGAAGAAAAGTTCAAATAAGTTTGGAACATATTACATACTTTACGCCTTACTTGGAAATTCACAATACATAGTAGCATAGTAAATTTCTGAGCAGTAGTGCATTAAATGAATCTGTTTAATCTGTTTGGCCCAGTGATTTCTAAATTTTTTTGACCATGGCACACTGTGGTCACAACAGACTACAATTCCGTAGAACGTCAGTTTAGTAAAAGCTACTTCCTGCAACTTTCTTAACTCTCTCATTGCTTTTATACCCCACCACACTTCTCTATCCCTGCTCAGTCTGCACATTTTAAAAAATTAGCGGGAAGCCTACCTGGAGAAGGAGAATAAAACATTCTTAAAACTTTTTTTTTTCTTCCAGCTTTATTGGGATATAATTGACATATAACATTGTGCAAGTTTAATATGTACAGTGTAATGATTTGATGCATGTGTATATATTGCAAAATGTTTACCACAATAAGGTTAGTTAACATATCCTCATAGTGTTTTTACTTCCTTCTCTAATAGTGGTTCTTAAATTTTGTACAGCAGAATCACCTGAAGGGCTTATTAAAAACAGTGCAGATTCTTCAAGCCTTTCCCCATTACATCTGGGGTAAAATTCAGGATTCCACACTTTTTTTTTTTTTTTTTTTTTTTAAAGATTTTATTATTTCCTTTTTCTCCCCAAAGCCCCCCGGTACATAGTTGTATATTCTTCGTTGTGGGTCTTTCTAGTTGTGGCATGTGGGTCTGATGAGCAGTGCCATGTCCACGCCCAGGATTCGAACCAACGAAACACTGGGCTGCCTGCAGTGGAGCGCGCGAACTTCACCACTCGGCCACGGGGCCAGCCCCAGGATTCCACACTTTTAATAAAGTATCCCAGGGGATTCTGATGCAGGTTTCCTAGACCCACATTCCCTGTTCCTGTGATGGCACCAGGGAACCTAAAGCATGAAGTCAGGTAGACTGTCATGGGAGTGTCTGACATGGGCTGTCACAGGTAACCTGTCCCACTCTTTTTGCATTTGGCTTTTGTCCTTTTCCTTTTTATGTAGCAGGAGAGCAGACTCCCTTGTGCAAGAGTAGCTGGCTATTATCCTCCCTGGTTCCGTTATCTCACTGGAAAATGTGGTCACCACCAGTGAAGTGGCATCTGATTCAAGGTCTATACAAAAGGACCTTGGCTGACTGATAATTGATTTTTCTTTCCTCTTTTCATACTCTCAGGATTCTCACTGCCTTTCCCTAGGAGGAATGGCTTATAGTTATCTTTTGTTATTGTCATTTCCTTTCTTAGCAAGGACTGTGGCAGCTGCTGTGGAAGTGCACCTTTTCTCAGATAGAAAGGGACTCAGAACCTAGAACAAGCCAAGTGAGAGATACCATAAATGTACTAAGTGCAGGTAACAATATGGAAACCAGTTCAGAGGTTGAATAAGGATTGGTGCTTGAGGAGGTTGAGTTGGGATGCTTTGCTACCTACTATAAAGGGCCTGAGGCAGATGGGACCCTAAGTATTTAGTCTTTCCTTGCTCTTTAGGACACAGACTGGGTGGTGGTGAAGGAGCCTGTTATCAAGGTGGCTGCCATAGACAATGGGCTGGCTTTCCCCCTGAAGCATCCTGACTCCTGGAGGGCATGTAAGTCTCAAGACCATTGTGGTCTGCCTCTTTTCTTGCTCAGTCTCAGTTTTCTTGTCTGTGTAATGTAGATAATACCTGTATCACAGGATTGTTCTAAGAATTAATGAAATAGTGCAGCTCTTGCGCTCTAGCACAATGGCTGGTACATAGCAACTACTCTATAATGTAAGCTATAACTGTTATTTTCATCTTACATTATTCCTAATAGAAGCATAGAGTTGAGTTTTCTCATCTCCACTTTGCGTTTTGCTCATTCTTTTTGAGGACTGTCTTATCATAATTTATTTTGTTTTTGTCTCTAAATATAACCTGCTGTCAGTGTTCTGTCTTCCTTGTTGACATCCTGGAAGCCAACTCCTGCCCCATTATAACTGAGAAACTTTTGGAAAGAGGGAGAGATACAAGTAGGAGGTCACTAGCCTCTTTGCAGCACTAGTCTGTCTTTTTAGAAGGAGCATCTCAATGCCTTAGTGATAAGTGACGCTTCTAGATAGGCTTACATCTTGGAAGGTCATATAATGTCTGAGAAAGAGCACAGGCTCTGGGATTAGGCAGACCTGGCTTTGAATCCTAGTTCTTCCACTTACTAACTATAACCTTTAGGATTAACAAGCCTTTGTAACTCTTTTTTTCTGTTGTATATCAAGGAAGAAGGGTGGTCTGCCTTTTGCAGTGCCCTGATAGATGGAAGACATAGATGGGCAGGGATTTTTTTCAACACCAGCTTTGCTTCTGCCCTTTCCTCTTTGCAGATCCTTTTTACTGGGCCTGGTTGCCCCAGGCAAAAGTCCCATTCTCTCAGGAGATCAAAGATCTGATTCTTCCAAAGATATCGGACCCTAACTTCGTCAAGGACTTAGAAGAGGACCTCTATGAACTCTTCAAGGTTAGACCTGGGAACCTCAGCCTTGTCCCTGTATAAAAGAAGGAATTCCTAATGGTTTTTCTAACTGGTCCTGATACAAGCCGAGAGAGCATGGCTAACACGCTTCTGACTTTGTTAGCCAATGAAGAGCAAGATTCCCACATGTGGACATAGGACCTGACATCAGGACCTACTTTGGATTGGTTTGAAAAAAATTGACAGCTCTGATGAATCCTACTGGTGTATATCCTGTGTGTCCTGTGGAGCACTAGAGCCTGACGTTCTTTGGAGTTAATAATGAGACTCAGGGCAAGACATGTCCTCGTTCTCTGTTTCCCCATCTGTGAAACAGGGAGTTCTTGGGGTGGTAGTTGACTTCACTACACCTTATAAGCCTCATGTAGGTTTTCTTTATTAGCAAGTTTCTAACTGGAGGAGGAAAATGAGTTCTGAGGGTTTCATGCAGCGTCCATCTCCTTCTGCCCTTCTTTTGCAGAAAGATCCTGGTTTCGACAGGGGACAGTTCCATAAGCAGATTGCTGTTATGCGAGGACAGGTAAGCCTGGGACATCCTCCTGGTGTCATCCCTCGTATCTCTCTAGGAGGGTTATGTGCTTATGTTGAGTAATGTGTAAAGTTTGTATTTTACACCCTCGTCAGTCTGTGTCATACATATTTGTGACTCTGCCTTAACACATGGGAGAGGAAAGGTAGCCCTCCCCATCTCCCGACTCTTCCATGGTATCCAGTGCTTGGGGAAGCACTTCCCATGTGCTTAGCTGTGTGCTGGTTGCTGGGTAGTTCACTGGTAAGTTCACCTAGCGGTCCCTGTCCTCAAGTAGCTCAGGGCAGGCCACATACCTTGGTGGTTAAGAGTTAGGCTTTGGGCAAGAGCCTCTGCTTCCCTCTTTATAAAATGGGATATAATAATACTTTGCAGAGTTGGCATGAGATAATGCATATCAAGTGTTTAGTAAAAACAATGCCTGGCACGTGGTAAGCACTCAGATATTGGCTGTGGTTATAATTTTTGCTGTTACCGTTATAAGTCATATTATTTCTTCTCTTTCCACTTCACCTTCAAAGGAAGCTAAGGAAATCCCCAGGGCATTGTTGATCCTCCAAAGCATAGTAAAGAATATGCTTTTAAAATTGTTTAAAAACTCTGTTGGGCACTGACATTCTGCTCATCACTTTGAAGTCTTCTTAAAGAGAGCTGGAATGGCCTAGCAGTTAAGGGCACAAATTGTGGTCAGAGTGCCTGGGTTTGAATCCTGTCTCTGCCATTTGAGGTCTTGGACAGTTAACTTAATTTCTCCTTCCTGTAGTTTCTCCGTTTGTAACATAGGATTAATAACAGCACCTACCTTATAGGGCGATTATGAGATAAATGATTTAAAACAGTTGGAGTAGTGTCTGGCATATTGAAGTACTCAGTATGTGATAGTTATTTTGATTATGATTTTGTATATAAAAAAGTCAGCTTCTCACGTCTTTAAAGGACAAGATTTTGTCCTTTAGATCATGTCCCAGTCATAATTAACATTAACCTTTTCCTACCAGTTAGCTCAAGGCTTCTGGTGAGAGCAACCCTTGGGCTTGCTGAGCACATTTTTCGCTGGAAATGGGATGCACAGGGGCTTTAAGAGCTGCAGTTACTATAGCTGCCTGAATACCAGGTCTTCCAACATTCCCAAGTGATGTAAGGGCCCAGTCAAGCTGGCAGAGTTTTGGGGAACCTTCAAAGCTGCATGATGTACTCTGGTATTGTGGAACTCAGCATAAAGGAACAAACTTCTTCACAAGCTTATGTAGGCTGTGCCTCTGTCCCTATTGTACTGTCTTCTCTATTCCCTTCCCAACTCTGTCGCTTGCCACCACCATAGCAACCCTCCTCCCATTATACCCAGTTAGGGCCATTATCTAGACTGGCCCGAAAAGGCGAGGGGGAGCGGTGATTGGGAGAGTGCAGCTTTATCTTTCTCTCCATCTTGTGCTCTTAGTGTCTTTTGAGGGCCTTTTGGCCTCTTACAACCTAGAATGCCTGCCTCCGAACACCATAAGCTTCCATTAGCATCCAGCTCCTCCCACATGGAGGTGGCCAGTGTATCAGTCACACCCCTACTCGCTTACCAATCACATATCAAAGCAAAATGAGCCTCTGCTCTACAGAAATCTGATGTACCCCAGGGGAAGGAGGTCACAAGCTTCTGCCTATCTGAGCCGTAATCACAGAGTGGGGTGTACAAGGTCCTGAGCCAAAGCGGGAGAGTGAAGAACCCTGGAGAGACGGAGTCGAAAGATAGACGTTGTTACTCACCATATAGGCTTCTAACCAGGAGATAGATCAAATGCAGGGTCTGAGAGAAAGCCTCTTTAAATAACATTTTCAAAGACAGTATTTATTTTTTAGCATTATGTGCCTGCTATAAATTTTTCTTCAACTTTTTAACTTGAAAAATTTCAAACCTCGGTGAAGTTGAAAGAGTGGTATCTCCTCCGAGATTCACCAATTGTTACACTCAGTTAACCTCATTTGCTTGATCTCATATCTGTATATGTTATCTGTCTGAATAATATCTGTATATATCTGTATAATTTCTGTCTATAGTATATCTATATAGTTTGTCTCTGTCCCTAGATAGATAATTTTTTTTTTTTTGCCAAATCCTTTGAAAGTAACTTGTAGACAATTTGACATTCTGCCCCAGATACCTTGGCATGCATAAGAAGTGGCTTCTCACCCAAAGAACCTAAGGGAGCACAGGAAGACCAGCCAGGGCAGGTTTAAAATCCTCTGTCTCATGTGTTGGGCGGTCTCCTGCACAACCCGCTCCAATTCCATTTGAACCTCCTTTTAGTTCTCGATCCTGATCTTGTGCTCAAGGCTCTTTGAAGCAGCTTAGGATACTGACAAGTACCAAAACAATAAATAGAAAAGGAATTCATTACTGGTAAGATTCAGTTCTGACTTCTGACCTCGATTCCAGGTGAATCTCTCCCTCTTTATGGGCAACATTTGCGGGCCAAGGACATTTGTGGCTTGAAAGCTGTGAGTGTGTGTGATTTCAGGGGCAGCCTAACTTACCCTCCCATGTGTCTGTGGCCTGGCCGTGAATATCTTCAACATCTAGTGGTTTAAAAAAGGCTGTCTATCCTAGGACAGCTTGAGCCTTTGTATTATCCTACAAGAGAAGTTAAATGGTGGTGATTCTAATTTTGACGAGGGGGAGAAAATGTGTCCCCATTGACACAGATCTAAAATATCTGTAAAACACAGACAAAAGTTGGTAAGGAGCTAATGCAGTGTAGTCTCCTGGATTGGATCCTGGAACAGAACAGTACTGGGAAAGCTAATGGAATCCAAATTAAGTCTGGAGTTTGTTTAATAGTGATGTTCCAATGTTAATTTCCCAGTTTTGGTAAATGTACCATGGTTATCTAAGTTGTTAAAATTAGGAGAAGCTGGGTAAATGGTATATAGGAGCTCTCTGTACTGTCTTTGCAACTTTTTGGTAAATCTAAAATTATTCTAAAGTAAAAATTTTATTTAAAAAAAAAGATGATGAAGAGACAGCATTGGACAAAGAATCCAAATGAAATGGATTTTTTTTTACTCCATGGTCTTTGCAGAAAAATCAGAAAATAAGGATAAACAACAGTAAACAAAAAATCACCTGTAATTCCTTGACCGGGACATAACCATTGCCAATTGCCAGACTTTTTTTCTCCACAGATAGAAAGATAGAATTTTAGTAAATAAAGGTGGGGTCACATTATAATACTGGTTCCTTTCTTCTTTCTTTTCTGTCTAACAACATCGTGATCAGCTTTCCAGACCAATAAAATATATTTTTTAATTGCTCGTTTCTTATCCCTTAAATATTAACTGATCCCATACTCTTGGGCATTTATTTAGTTTTCACTGTTATAAACAGTACTGCACTATATTGGTTGAAACTAAGTGTTTGATGCATATCCATGATTGTTTCCTTAGTCCCTAAAAATGAAATTGCTGTCTGAGGGCCTGTAACCCTTTAAGTCTTTATTGTCCATTGGCCTTTCTGAAGGACTGTCCATGATCCAGCCCCACAGCCATGTCTCAGAACTCTTCCAACTCTGAGTTGTCATTGTCTTCTGTATCTTTACTAACAGGAAGGGCAAAAAATGGGAGGTATTTGTTTTCATTTGTATTTTTAAAATGACTGGAGAGATTTCCATTTTGTTTATTGCCCATTTATGTTTCTGCTTTTGTTAATAGCCTATTTGTACGATTTTCCATTGATGTGTGCTTTATTTTTTTATTGGTCTATAGGAGCACTTTATTTGCCAGTCTCCCTTCAGAGGCAGACCTAGGCTTTTCCCTCACTGATCTCATTTTTCCCACTGCAGATCCTAAATCTGAGCCAGGCCCTGAAAGACAACAAGAGTCCCCTGCACCTCGTCCAGATGCCACCTGTGATTGTTGAGACGGCCCGTTCCCACCAGCGGTCTGCTAGCGATTCCTACACACAGAGCTTTCAGAGTCGGAAACCTTTCTTTTCGTGGTGGTAGCCTGAGAGGCAGACAAAGGCATATTGTCTGAGACTTGGGCTGGAGGAAGCCTGGGGAGTGGGTTGCAGGAGAAGCCAGAGAAGCTGGTGGAGAACAGTGCCCTTAAGAGCTCTCCCTCTCTCGTCACCCCGCTCAGGGCTTTCCCAAGCACAGGGAGAAGCACAATCAGAGGAACGTTGAGTGCTGTTGGACCCTTCTGAGTGCTGGGGGCGCTTCTGGAGCTCCTTGCAAGTAGTTCAGATGCCTGGGAAGGAGCATCTCCCTTCTAGTGTCTCCTGGGGGCAGGCTGGGAAATTCCGTTCCCTCCCTGACACCCTGCTGTTTCAATTCCTCACTGTATTCTGCATCAGAAAAGCAAACAAACAACAAAAAACAAATTTAAATACTAGTGGCAAAACACAGGCAGAATCCCAGATCCTCTCATGTCAGAAACCTCTAATCAAGACCTATATTTGCATGGACCCAGACATTCAGGTGCCTCTCATTTCCTTACTCCTGTGGACCAAGGCAGCTGGGTGACTCGCAGTGCCGGGACAGACAGAAGTCACACCTACTTTGGGTTTTTGCCAAGTCTTCTTCCCCTTCCCCCAGTGCAATAGGCTGGCTGAGAGCCTCCAAATGCAATTCTCAGGGTGGATGCTTTTGCTCAAGACCTCCGAGCCAACGATCATGTCAGCTCTGCTCTCTGCCCTGCTAGGGACCTGTGTCTCTGTGCAGGCCTGCTGCTTGTCCATCACTCAGGCAAAGGCAGGAGGGAGGAAGCTGACTCCCCAGCATGTCAAAGTGGTCCACATGGCCCAAGTGTATGCTGGGAGCTGTAACTGGTCTATGGGCAAACTTACTCCAGCCTTGCTTCCTGAGTCCTTGGCCCTAGCCAAAGGTGGGAAACCCTGCCAGTCCTCTCATTTGTTCCTGTTGTTTTAGATAATTTTTTCTCAACTCTTTTGACTTAGGGGCTCAGTCCTGGGTTCTGGGGGTGGGTCTCAGCTCAGAAAAGGACAGGATATTAGGTCCTTAGACTTCTTTTTATGCTACCACTGCAGCTTGGTGGACGTAACAGGACTAGTATTCTGCCTCCTCACTGGCCGCTTCCCTTTGCTCCCTGACTTCTTGCTCCAGGCCAGTTTTTCTATGGCTTCTTGAGAAAGGCAGGCCCAAAGGAGAGAGGCCTTCAAACTGTCCCCCAGTGCCTACCCAGCTCATTGTCATCTTCCTGCTTCCATGTCCTTCAGCTGTCCCCCTTGCCAGGTGTCCGAGCCCTTTCTACACCAAAGCAAAGAACGGCCTCAGGAGGGTGCCATCTGTGGCTAAGGGGCAGCCCTGTGCTACTGGACACTTCAAGTTGCTGGCCCCCTGCGACTGGTCAATCAGCCTTGGAAAGAAACTATCTTGAAGGTTTGGAAAATCAACCAAAGAAAAGGAGCAAGGACTATGGCCGTGTGCCCTCTGCTTGCCCAGCTTCCGCCATCCCGGAGGCAGAGCAGAGATGTCTAGCACTCTTGTCAGCTGGGCCAGGCTGATCCCCTTCCATTCCAGCCCCCAAGCGCCAGCTTCCACCCAGCTGAGAGGAAGAGCCTCTGGGAGCTGGATATGCATGCCCTGAGGATGAAGGCACAGCTCCCCCGCTGGCCTCACCGTGACAATCCCATTCAGCTGACCTGGGCTCTGGCCTGGGGGACCATGTTTGTGAGAATGCCTGCCCCCAGACTGCAGGAGCAGCAGGGCTCCCAGAGGTCGGAAGGGGACCCAGGCGTGTTTAGCTCTTCACAGACATCTTTACACAGGTGTGTTGGTAAAGCTCCCCACCTGAGTGTCAAGAGAAGCTAAACAGCCTAAAAAGGAGCCTGGTTGTTTCCCCAAACCAAGCAGATCTGCACATTGCCCTCATCCAGACCAGCTCTGTTATGAGAAGGCAGTTGGGTCCAATGGAAGAGGGAGCTGGTCCCAGCCCTGGCAGGTGAGAGTGCGGGACATCCCCTCCTGGCCTGTCTCCGTTCTCCTTGAAGCCTGTACTCAGGTTGCCTTGAATGTGGTCTTTGGGAGAGCCAGGGGCCAGAGTGCCAGGGCAGGTTTCTGGGTGGCACTCACAGAATGGCCCTGTCCCCCAGTGTCAGGAAGTAGAGGCCGGGCTGTGAGAGTGCTGCTGCCTCTGTATTGTTCTTCTAATGCACTGTAGAAATTGTATGTAATGTATTTAAACCAACGCAAATGTATGAATAACAAGTCCAGTTCTGACCTTTCTTGTCTAATTTTCTTTGAAGACCAGGTAGAGTGCGATTTTAAGGACAAAGAACCCTGTGTTTCCATGGAGTTGCTGAGATATGGCTTCTGAGTCTGTTTTCCTCTAGTAGAGGAAAATACAGGTCCTCATTTCCGAAATCCCAATGCTCTGAAAATCAGAAATATTTTCATAACTCGTTTGACACCGAAATCTGACCTGAATTTACACTGATATGAAGCTACTTCTAATCATCAGGTATCCCTCTTAGTGTGAACATTTGTTGCAGAAATATTCATATTTTGTTATGAGATGTTCCTCTACTAGAGATTATACAGTATTTACATTGACTACCTCCTAAAAGCCAAGAAAATTCTGAATTCCAAAATCATCTAGCCCCAAGGGTTGGGATAAGGACTGTGGACCGGCTTCTCTTCTTGGCCACGAGAGGGCAGCCCTGCTCTGCGTGTGCATCACTCCCCCCTTGGAGCACTTTGAACCCTGGCTTCTCTAGTGATGGATAATCAAGCAGATAGCATAGGTAGAGAGGGGAGCTGAATGCTTATAAGCACATAGTATGTAGAGGCAAAGCCAGAATAGTCAAAGATCCTCACCTCAAGTGTTTTCAGGCTACGGGAAACTTTGGATAATGCAAGGAACTCAAGATGAGTGGTCTACCTCAGGATGGTTGGCCTGTGGGGATGAAGAAGCCAGCTGAGGGGCTCGCCCCGTGGCCGAGTGGTTAAGTTCGCGCGCTCCGCTGCAGGCGGCCCAGTGTTTCGTTGGTTCGAATCCTGGGCGCGGACATGGCACTGCTCATCAAACCATGCTGAGGCAGCGTCCCACATGCCACAACTAGAAGGACCCACAACAAAGAATATACAACTATGTACCGGGGGGCTCTGGGGAGAAAAAGGAAAAAAATAAAAATCTTTAAAAACAACAAAAAAAGAAGCCAGCTGAGGAGCTGGCACCCACTACTTTGACGGCAGACCCACTGCCCACTATGCAGGGCTGACCATAACAACCTTCTCCCTTCTAGAGTTGGCCAGAGGCCAAGAACCCTCTCCTGTCCTGTGGATCAGGACTGCCTACAGATGCTTCCATCCCCATTCTGACAGACTTTGGAAAAGGAGGCTTCGGCACAGAGGTTCTAGGGGATGAGGGGTGAGAAAGCAAAGGAGGCCAGCCTATTTCCTCCTTCCTGGGAAATACCCCTTCCCTGCATTGAGCCCAAGCCCTCACCCCCTGGCTCCGGAGTATCCACTTCCAGGTCCTTCCCTTATGTGACAGACTCTCACAGTTCTTGATGCAAATGTTTTTATTTTGCCACTTAAACCACACTTTCTTTGTGCTGGCCTGACGGGCAGGGGTGTGGGACAGGCTACTAGACCACGGGTTACAGTAGTAGCAGGAGGTTGGTAGCAGGAGTGGTGAGATGCAGTCTTGAGTGTCCATCACTGGACCCCCAGGGGAATATCATGCAGCCCAGGTATAGTGTCAGATGGGGAAGGGCCAAGGCAGGAACGTCACTGTTTCTTCTCATTCTGGGGAGGAATGGGTCCCACATAATGTAGAGCTCAGTGGACACCTCCAGTCCTGCTCTGATTTGAGCAGGCTAGTGGCAGCGGTCTTTCTTTTACCCATGTGGGGCTGTCTTCCTCAAGTCTTTCTTCTCCACCTCCCCCAGGCCCTTTGGCAGAAGTCCCTATGATTCCTGGGGGAGACACTGCTGTTCCAGCCCCTTCCCTGGATCAGTGTCTGATCTGATGGAGGTAGCTGGTGGGGCCTGGCTTCCTCCAGTTCCGTCGGATCCTGGCGCTTGACCTCCTAGAGTTCAGATACTGATCGCTGGAAGCCATCTCCGTAGCACTGCTCTGCGGGCCGGCCAGTGGAGCTTGGTGCTCTGGGATTCTGCAGGGAACGAGAGTGTGATAAGACAACATCAATAGGGAGGGCAGAATGAGGACTCCAGAAACTTTGGTCGTGGTGAGCTATTAAAACACACTCTTTGGGGCAGAATGAGACCAGGGCTCTGGTCTCATTTCTGCTCTCTGAGAGCTACATGACTAGGCAAAGCTTTTCTGGAAAGAGAGTTAGGCTAGATGAGAGTGTGTGACATCCAACATTTCTCCAACTTCCTCATCCTGTACTCGTGGCAGACATTGCGAGTCATGATATGAGACTGGAGGAACCAAGTGTCCTTAGCAAGGTGTTTTAAGTAGGGATTACTAATCAATCATAGTATGAGCAGTGAAGCTGATCTGCTGCCCCTGAACCTGATGATCTCAGAGGCCTGTTGAGGTCTAGTGTTCTGATTGTGGGCCCAGAGGAATGGAGCCCAGAGCGTAACTGCCAGTGACTGGTTTAGGCCATGTGGTTCAGCTCTGCCTTGGGGCTCACTGTTCCTGCGCTGTCAGTGACCTAAGCAAAGAGAGGGGTGACTAGGGAATGTTTAAAGTTTCTCAGCAACGTTTAACCCTTGATGCCTCTACACTATCCTAAGCTATATTCTCTGTAATCCCACAGCCAAGATTTGAACCAGGCTTACTTTTGAATGGTACCTGTTCTACAAGAGGGAAACAATTTTTTTTTTCTCCCAAACAATAGTCCCTCCTACCTGGCTGCAAATGAGGTGGCACTGATAGGACGCAGGCACCCCTTCCCCTGGGAGTTCATAGGGTCATATATGACTCCGATAGTAATAGCAGTCTTTTAAGTGCCAACCACGTAGTAGGCAGAGTGTAGACCTTACAAGAACCCCAATGGTGGGTACTTCACCTCCCTACCAGGGGCCAGGTCAGTAGCTCAGGTCACACAGCCAGGAGGCGGTGAATGGATGTCATTAGTGCTCTTCTGCCCTCAGCCCTCCAGTCCCGGGAACCCACCTGAGCCGGCTGCAGTGGTGGAGTGAGTGGCCCAGGAGTTTCTGCCTCGGGGGCCTCTTCCTACGCAGCTTCCTCAAGGCCTCTGCCACGCGCTGGTCCCCTGCGTACTCCCAGATGATCTGTGCCCGCTCCTCAGCCAGCTGGTCCCCACTGCGCTGAAACAGGCCCTGGATCTGCAGCAGCTCAGCGTCCTGGAAGATGTTGGCTGAGGCCTGCTTGCGGCCCCGGGCCTCAGCTGGGGCCTGCCAAGGGGGCGGCTCACTCACCACAGAGGCTGGGGTGCCCATCCTGGGTGCTCTGGGGAAGGAAAGCATGGAGAGACAACAGCTCAGCAGGCCTTTCCCAAACCTGGGGGTCCTGACTAATGCAAGGGCTTCTGGTGTTTCTATTCTCCAGGAGCTAAAGTGGCTTAAGTCTTGACTTAAAATCACTCTAATTTCCCAGAGCACCTTGGGGAAATATTAATCATGATAGCCAAACTTTATTCTAAAGTGATTATGTGTCTAACACATGTATTATCTCACTGAAGAGTGGCAGGAACCTGTGAGGTAAGCATTGTTTATCCCCGCTTTACAGATGAAGTGCGACTCAGAGAGGTTAAATGACTTTCCCGCAGTCACAGAGCCTGTGTAAGTGCAGAGCCAGGAGCAGAACCCAGGTGTGTCCGGCTCTAAAGTCCATGCAGGTCCCAGGATACCCAGGTCCTTGTGGTAACGCCAGCACAGCTGCTGAAGTGTGTTGAGCACTTAACACATATCCAGCAGTGCTGTAGAAGCTGTCTTCACATAGCATCGTTGGAACGTGAGCACAACAGCCACGTGAGGTAGGTGCTTTCATCCTCCTCATTCCACGGATGCGGAAACTGAGGAGCAGAATCCAGGTCTCTGATGCCGAGGCCCCGGCTCTGTAGCACAGAAATAAGAGAGGAACTGTGCAGTTGGGCTACCCAGGTTGGAGCCCCACTGCTAGCCGCCTCCACTTACTGGCGGGCTGACCCTCCCTGCCTCAGCTGCTTCCTGCGTCAACTTACCAGCTGTGCTAGTACCTGCTTCATAGAGTTGCTGTGAGGCCTGAGTGAAGACACAGGAAGTGTTAAGAACAGGGTTCACTGTTCTACTGCTCTGCTTTTCCATCTTTAAAATTGAGAAGAGTCATCTCACCTCCTGTTTTCAAGGCCTTGGGATGAACCACGTCCTTTTAATTTAGCAAACACAGTATGAAATAGACCAATCAGATCTAACTACAGTTCACAGGACCTCCAAGAGAAAGGCAGGCAGGAGAGGCTACAGGGTTAGAATAGACTATCACGGGCAGAGGCTGAAATCTATAAGAAAGTTCAGTAGGAGCTAGACTCATGTCATGTCCCCCCATCACATCTAGGAAATTGAAATTGAAATTAAATTATCTCCCTCAGTTCTAGATATTTCACTTTGAATAATAAAGGCATAAGAGGCTCACCCACCTTATCCTTGTCTCCAGTACAGCCTGAAAAAGCTATGGGATTGGAAAACAGACTGGAGACAAGGAAGACCCAGGCCAAGGACTTTGGCATTACACAGAACTGTCACCACTTTCCTAGCCATGACCTTAGGCAAGTTGCTCAACCTCTCTGAGCCTGTTTGTTTAACTGTAAAATGGGGCTAATAACCACTTCTCAGGATTGTTGTAAGGATTAAATGAGTCTAGTGTGGTATCAGGTACCCAATTAAGAGCTAAATAAATGCAAATGCCCCTCTATTCAACCTCCTTGACTTTTATTCTTGGGTCAGGGGTGTGATGCGGACCTGCCTTTTCCTCCAAACAGTCTGGCCTGAGCCAGCAGGGGGCCTGCCTGTGCGCCCTCCACCCCTCACAGCCCCAGGCCTGATGGGGAAGGCCTGGTTGCTAGGTCAGACCTCACTCCACAGCTAGCTACAGAGACACCTGTCAACCAGCCACCGGCTTAGGGGGAAAATAAAAGTTAAAATAGATTCAAATAAAAAATGTACATGCTCATGGTAAAAAATGCAAATAGAGAAGAATCTTAAAAATGAAAGCATTCCCAGTTTCCTGGCCTCAGCCCACTGGAGAAGTAACACTTGCTCTCCTGCCTTTTGTTCTGAGAGTTTGAGCGTCTCCATACCATTCAC